GCGACGCGGGCGGGGGGGGGGGCGGCGGGCGGCTGCGCGCTCCGGGGGATCAAAGCAAGTTCGATATAACGCGGTTTCAGCTATAACGCGGTAAGATTTTTTGGCTCCCGAGGACAGTGTTATATTGGGATAGAGGTGTACTAGGGATAAGCATTTTAAAATGAGCAGACCTGGATAACTTGCACCCAAGAGTCTTGAACAAGTTGGTTGAGGAGCTCTCCAGCCCACTGATGATAATTTTCAATAAATCTTGGAATACAAAGGAAATTGCACAAGACTGGAAGAGTTCCGTTGTGCCAGTATTCAAAAAAGGGCATGTGGGGTGAACATAGGCTGGTTAGCCTGCCATCAACCCTAGTCATAATTATGGGAAAGCTGATAGGGGATTAAGTTAATAAAGAATTAAAGGATGCCAGTTAACATGGTTTATGGAAAACTGATCTTGTCAAACGGATTTAATTTATTGATGAGGTTACCAGTTTGGTGGAATAAAGGTAACTGCATAGATGTAATACTAAATCAAACGCCTTACAAAATGGTTAGAACCACTCAACATTCTCATTCAAAAAGTAGCATTATACAATATCAAAGCACAAGTTAAAGGGATTAAGACCTGGCTAACTAACATACTTCAAAGTAGTTGTCAATGGGGCTCATCATTGAATTGGGGTGTTTCTAGGGGGATTCTGCAGGGATGCTATTCAACATTTTCAGCAGTGGTCTGGAAGTAATTAAAAAAATTGCAGATAATAAAGATTGGGGTAGTGGTAAATGATGAGGACTAGGCAGTCACACAGCGTGATCTGGATTGCTTGGTAAACTGGGCCCACTAAAACAAAATGCACTTGAATACAGCCAAATGCAAATTATACATCTAGGATCGAGGAATGCAGGCCAGACCTACAGAATAGGGGACTGTATGCTGGAAAGCAGTGGCACTGAAAAAGATTTAGGGGTCATAGTGGACAGGTAACTCAACACAAGCTCCCAGTGTGATAGTTGTATCCACTACAAACGGGAGTAGTGAGGTGATTTTTACCTCTGTATACAGCACTGGAGTACAATTTTGGGGTCTACATTTTAAAAAGGATGTTCAGTAATGGAGAGGGTGCAGAAGAGAGCCACAACAATTATTCAAGGGCTGGAGTAAATGCTTTATGGTGAGCTCGTTAAGTGTCTCAATCTGTTTACCTTAGCTGAAAGAAGATTGAGGTGACTTGATTACAGTTTGTAAGTGCCTTCACGGGGAGACAATAGTGGGTACTAAAGGGCTCTTAAATCGAGCAGGGAAAGGCAGAACAAGAACCAATGGCTAGAAGCTAAGGCCCGACAAATTCAAATTAGAATTGGGACACAATTTTTTTTTTCAGTAAGGGTGATTAGCTGTTGAAACAAAAAACCCAGGGAAGTGGTAGATTCTCCATTTCTTGATGTCATCAAATCAAGACTGGATGCCTTTCTGAAGATATGCTTTTAGCCAAGCAAGTTACTGGGATCAATATACTGATAATAGATGAAATGTAATGGTTCGTGATAGACAGGTGGTCATCTAGAAGATGACATAATGATCCCTTCAGGCCTTAAACCTCTGTATAGCTACAAACCTTTGAGTGATTTTTGCCTTCACCTTTATTGAATTCTCTCTTTTCAGGAGTCTATTTTGAAAAGGTATTAAAGAGTTCAGATACTTCCCTGTGGGTGAGGAACATTCAGATGTACTTGTCTGGGATTGTGGTGACTTTAGTTGGTGTTTACTTGTCAGAAGGAGCTCAAGTTCTCGAGAAAGGATTTTTCTATGGCTACACATATTATGTCGGGTTTGTCATCTGTAAGTATCTTTCAATTCTGGTGCCCTGTCATGTTGATTCAAAACACTCAAATTCAGTCAAGACCAGGAGCCCTTAAGTGAGTGAGTTTGGAGAGGAAACATTTAAATTTCCTTATAAAATCAAAGAACTGCTTTTTCAGCACAACATTAATTAATGAATAGAACATCCATAATAATTCTAGTCATGTCCTTTCTGCTAGATGCCAGTTAGACTATCTATTTTGCTGTGTGTGGTTTTTAAAATTACAGGTTAGCAAGATCAGATCATAATACAAACAATCTATACACCATTACAGAGCTAAACAAATTATTTTTACACCAAGATTTTAATAATAAGAATGTCTTATTTGCTTCCCAGTGCTTGCCAGTGTTGGAGGCCTCTACACTTCTGTTGTTGTTAAATACACAGACAACATTATGAAAGGATTTTCTGCAGCAGCCGCCATTGTTCTTTCCACTGTTGCATCGGTGATGCTGTTTGGTTTACAGATCAGTAAGTTGCTTTTGGCTAATGTTTGTTTCATCCTCCTGAGTAGGCTGGTTACAGTGCATGTTGTAATACTTTACAGTCTACTGTGGGGTTTTCTTCTTTGTCTTTTTTACCTTAGCATGTAATTTTTGGGACTGACATTGGCTAGTGACAGCTCAAGCTGTGTTGTAGCATCATATTTGCTGGATACTACCGTCCTACGAGTCCCAGGAATACTATGCGTTGTGTTCTTGGAGGGGATTCAGATGTGCTCTCCCATCCCCCACTTGCTACTGAAACAGGCTGAATATCAAAACCTTTCATTTTCATATTCACCAGAGGCTGGAACTCTTTCATTTTAAGTCGCTCCATTGTGTCAGTTTCCGATCCTGTGGCTAATGGAAAAATTAGTATTCCTGTATCTCTGGCAGATGTTCTGAGTTGCTGACAGTAGCTAATAAAGGAACTGCTACAATATTTTCATGCAGCGTTCACTAACTCTGAGCCAGTCCTATGTTAACGTCTCAATTATTTATGAAATTCATAGATTCATAGATTCTAGGACTGGAAGGGACCTCGAGAGGTCATCGAGTCCAGTCCCCTGCCCGCATGGCAGGACCAAATACTGTCTAGACCATCCCTGATAGATATTTATCTAACCTACTCTTAAATATCTCCAGAGATGGAGATTCCACAACCTCCCTAGGCAATTTATTCCAGTGTTTAACCACCCTGACAGTTAGGAACTTTTTCCTAATGTCCAACCTAGACCTCCCTTGCTGCAGTTTAAATAGCAATGCCAAGTCCACAGTAGTTGTTCTATAGAGTGCTGTAATAACTGTTACCCTCCTGTTTACACAGTGCCATGACCAGCATGTGTGCATCAGGCAAACCCCAGCGTAGTGGTTTAAGGACATATCTTATATCCTTCACTGCAGAGACAAGGTAATATCTTTTATTGGATGAGCTTCTGTTGGTGAGAGACAAGCTTTCGAGCTACACAGAGCTCTTCTTCAGGTCAGCTCTGTATGGCTCGAAAACTTCTCTCTCACCAACAGAAGCTGGTCCAATGAAAGATACGATCCTCACCCACCTTCTCTCTCTAATGTCCTGTGACCAACACAGCTCCAACTACACTGCATCCTTCACTGCAGTCAGAATTCTGTCTAACATGACATTTGCCCAGCAGAAAGAGGCAGAGGGCAATGGTGAAAGAACTTCACAATGTGAGGGGTGGTATGACTTAATGAGGTGAAACTTGCAAGGGAACTTTGCATAAAGTGAAAAGCTTCCCAAGAGTTAGCTCTAATGGGCTGTGGAACAGTGCCCCAGGATGAGTGGTGGACGCTTGACTGTCATTTTTAAAACTAGACTGGACAAAACACTAGAAAATGCACTGGCTGATCTAACTTCTGTGACAGAACCTCAGCTTTACTAATAGTACTCAAAAATCAGTATAGATTTGGAAAAGCAAAATGTGCTAACACTCTATTAGATTACAATTCCAGTTACAGAATATTTTTTGATTAGAGGCCAACCATGAGTTTGGTTTGACCGCATTGAAGGAGTAGAATCCAGCAGTCATTAAGGAAGAACAAATACAGAACTGTAGGATGTCTGTTTCGGACTTTCTCCTCTGACCTTCACACTATGATTGACTGAAATGCTATGACGTTTTGGGGGCTGGTAAATGATCAATTTTCACTGTCAAAACATGATACTAATTTTACAAATTATTAGGATGACCGCTCACGTCTCCCTTAGAGTTGTAATTAAGGAGGATGTTGGAATAGTAGAGTGTAACTTTCTCAGTTGTCTCCCCTACGAAAGTTTTATCTTTTTGTTTTCATTTGGAGCTGAGTGTTTAAACAATGTCTTGTTTCCTTCCAGCTGTAACCTTTGCTCTCGGTGCTCTCCTTGTTTGTATTTCTATATACCTGTATGGATTACCACGACAAGACACCACAAAAATCCAGCCATCGTTAGAGACAGAGAGTTCGAGAGAGAAACTTATTCATATGTGATGTTTGCAATAAAACAACAAGAGACACTGCAAAGGAAAGACTTGGGGGAAAAAAAACCTGTTTTTAATTGGCCTTAAACTAGTCATGGAAAGACTTAATTTGGACAGAATAAAAGCAGCAGTTAATTCTGTAAGGAAGTGAATGGTTTTCATTGGATGATACATTCTCCATTTTTGCCAAGCTCCTGAAGAAGCTAGTTCATGGAAGGCATGTTCCTTTCATGTTGGACTGTGAGGAGCCCATCTACCAGGAATGAAGAACGAAGGAATTGAACCTTCTGTTGTATATAAAAGAGGGACATTCTCTCTGGCTGTATATTTGAAAGACTGTATTGTGCCATTTATGGGCAGAAATGCTCAAAGGCTTCAGAAGCTCTATTAAAGGATGTCTCATTGCCAAAGCTGCTCCTTTCACTCATTTGGCTCCAGAATTCTGAAAACGTTGGTCTGATTACCCAAATGTAGGGAAAGAAGAACCTTTCCTTTGACTAATAGGTGTATCATCTTGAATACCAACTGGTTGCTGAGCTCACACCCTCTTTAGGTAAATTAACTGTTACTAATAGGTAAGGCTACGATTATGTCACAGAATCTGTGACAGTTTCTGCCCTGGGGCTGGAGCTCCCAGCCAGCCCTGCCCTCGCAGCTCCCAGTTCCCAACCTGGTGGGGGACCCTCAGCAGCTACCCAACCCCGGTGGGTGGCCGGCGGGACCCCGCGCACCTGCCCAGCCGCAGCAGGCACGCCCCACACCTGCCCAACTGCGGCCAGCGGCTGGAGGACTCTGCAGCTACCAGCTGCCCTGGGCAAGGGGACCCCACAGCAGCCCAGCCCCAGGGGCAGGGACACCCCGGAGCTCCCATGCACTGCAGCAGTGGGTGCTGAACCCACCTACTCCTTTTGTCAGGGATATTTTTAGTGAAAGTCAGGGACAGGTCAGGGGCTGCCGTGAATTTTTATTTCCCATGACCTGTCCCTGACTTTCACTAAAAATATCTGTGACAAAAACTTAGTCTTACTAATAGGATGAATGTGAGCAAGAGTGGACTGTTGAAAGGAAAAACCTACTCTCATAACTTCGTCTATATTGAGCATCCTTTAGTCACTAAGTACAATTGTTGCTTTCAGCCATAGTGGAACACCTGTTACAATGTACAAGTACGTTTTTCATTGAGTAACTTTTAAAATGTGAAGATGTTTGTATCTTTTATAAAACTAGTGTAAAATGTCCCAATTTTGTTAGGAGTAATTTGTGAAACTAGTTCACTGATTACATGGGGGAACCACTAATGATGTTCTCTTCACATCTCCATATTGGTGTCAAGTCAGGACGTGAGGTTTTTGGTTCGAGGCTGATGCATACTTTTTATCTATATTCCAAGTAGTTTTCTGTGCCATAGCACAGATTGAGCCGTTCTGCACAGCAGAGGGATGCATGTAAAACCTAGAAGTGTTTTCCTAAAGTTTGTGTTTTGTTTGTTGAAGGGTGACTGAAACCTGCATAGGCTCAACAAATGCCTGAGAGGGCAAAACCACTGCTGTGGTTGATCCTCAATTCTTTGGAAGACATCCATCAATACAGCCCATTTAGTCAATGCATTCATAGAAAACATACACAGCAATTAATTGCTTCAGGGCACTTTGTACCATTTCATTTCTAGAAAACCAATGTTGGTACATTTATTCAGGTTGACTTTCATAATTGACTAAATTCTAGACCTGACCATAGGTGATTAATGCTGCTGCTGTTTGAGAGCCTTAAAAGTCAAACATAGGAGGCTCGAGTCTAACTCACTCCCACTTACAAAATAACTGTTGAAATTCTACTTCATTGGTTGCTTTGTAATGAAACAGCTTAATGCGCAACCCATTACCCTGCCTTAGAGACATCAGCCTTTTGAAATCTGATCCACTTCAAAAAGGGTATTAAAAGCAGAAGGACCTGCCCCTCTCGTTTTTATTTTCATTGTGACCTTTTCCTATTCTTCAAAATTCGTCTCTAAGGTAAAGAAAACCCCCAACAAACAAAAGAAGATCAATTTAACTTGACTATAGAGGGGAAATAGCAAAACTGAATGTACACAAAGGACCTGATTTGGGTTTATTATGCACTGTGACCCTCAGCAGGCCTGGAAAATCCCCTGCAACTAGCAACTGCTATTAGGGAAGACTAAGAAACCCAGCCAGGGGTGTCCAAAGGATAGAAGGCAGTATCCAGGCTCTGAGGCATAGGTGGGGTGGCCTGTGGTGGAGGGGGGGGTTTGTCCTAGGCCCTGCAACCACGTAGGGACAGCTCTGCAGAGGTGCCCAGCCCCACCCCCTTTACGTTGCTGCATGCAGGCCCAGCCTCCCTCCTCCCCGCCATGGTGATCTGCTGCTAGCTGCTCCCAGCAGATGTGCCTGGGCTGCCATAGAAGGGATGTGTGTTCCCCACAGATTTCTTTGCTCCCCCATTTTTCTGTGGTGGAGCCAAGAAATCTGCAGAAGTTATCAATTCTACACCCCCCGCAGGACATAAGATTCCCCCAGGAGTATACACATTAAGGCATTGGTTAGCAGGAGCAGTACACTTGGTTAAAACAACATGCTCAATGGAGGATAGAAAAGTAAATATTAGCTCATTTGTTCCTCTTCCTCATTCCCTCTGGTGCTTGTCTTTCAACACTGAGGAAATGTAGTGACAATGGAGCTGACTCATAAAATGAGAACTTTTTCCTTTACCCCTGCCTCTGAGGTGAATTTAGCAGCCATGCGTCTCCATCCATTTTAAGTAGAGCGTTACGAGCTAATCTGGCAGGTGTGGGGGCTGTACTTAGAATTAGTCTTCCAAGTACAAAGTGCTTGGATTTTATTCAGGAACCACAAACAAATTCTGGCAAGGCCTCTTATTGCTAGTCATGAAATAGCAATAGGGTAATATGTTAAGCTCCCTTCCACTATCGTATTGTTTTAGGGCACATCTGTTCCAAGGTTGCAGCTTGTGCTCAGTGGTATTATCCTTAGATTATGATGTGGTACTCATGCTAATGTTTCTTCATCTAAAAAACAAAACAAAACCACTTTTCAGAGCCATCTTTTCCTTTGAAACTGGGGAGAAGTCTCCGGGGGAGGAAAAAGAAGGTTTGGCAGCTGGTCCAGGCCATATAGTTGAAGTGGGAAAGATCATAAAGGCAATGGGAAATCCAGAACAGCCTGTAACCAAACCATAGTTTGTGTGAACTGAATTGCAGCAGTAGATGAAGCATCTAGAGCTATTACACTATTAGGTTTAGATAAACTTCAATTTAATCGCTAACAAGAGCTCAAGGTGGGTGGGAGAGTAAGTAACGTTGAACTGTGAAACGGGAGTGAAATAAACTGAAGGGAGGATATTTTTAGTGAGAGCAAGTGCAAGAGAAGAGACTCAAATGCTTGTGGACATGTGAGGGTGAAACTGAATCTGTCTCAAAGAAAAAGCACTTTGCCCCACCAAAAAAACCCTACCTGATACCTTGCTTATCCTCCACTAACAGAATCACTGGATATAAATGAGAACTTGGGAGTTACAGAAGATGCCAATAAGTGATTCTGTTAGTGGAGGATAAGCAATGTATCAGGTAGGGTTTTTTGGTGGGGCAGAGTGCTTTTTCTTTTTCAAGAGCTCTGTCCCATGAGAAGCTGTTCGTACACTGCCCTCAGCTTGAGGCACAGGAGAACACCAAAGACCAGACAAGAAGAGAGTTTGTAGGACTGAAGTAACAATGAGGGTCATAGCACGGGCTGGATTCTCATTAAAAACTTTTACTAAGAAGCTTAATTTACATTGCAAGAGGCTTTTTTGTTACATCTGTGTGACAGGCGTGATTCCAAGAAGTTTCATTCCATTAGCTAGAACAGAACGCGCAGCCTGGAAGAGGCGGAGTCTTGCCTGCAAAATAAAAGTAACAATCAACTTATGCAGTCCCTCCATCTGAACAGCGGTTTATACTTACATGACCAAGGAGCATAGTCTCAAGGAAAGGGCTAGGAGGAAGCCTGTTAAAAATGAAGACAGCTACGTGTGTGTCATCTTTGTTTAGGAGTCTGAGGATTACGGTTTGTCCAACACTATGAAGATACAAAGTGCCGAATACTAGTAGCAGCTCAAGGACTAGAGGAAGCCACTTTCATCCTCCGCCACAATAGCACTGAACAACTGATCTAGGGGTGAAAGTGGAGGAATTTATTCCCAATGTTGTAGAGACCATTCAAGCCAAAGTCGGACTCAGGTCTCTAGCCACATCCAGCCTGGACTCCCAGACCGAGGGAACAAGACCCTGCTGCAGAAAGCCTAGCACAGGAACGAGCAGAGTGGAGAGCTGCCATGGTGGAACACAAGACGATTGGTCTGGATCGGGGTGGCCAACCTGTGGCTCCAGAGCCGCATGTGGCTCTTCAGAGGTTAATACGCGGCTCCTTGCATAGGCACTGACTCCAGGGCTGGAGCTACAGATGCTAACTTTCCACTGTGCCGGGGGGTGCCCCCACTCCACCCCTTCCCCCAAGGCCCCTGCTCCTTCCCTGGAACCTGCCATGCCCTCACTCCTCCCCCTCCCCCACAGAGCCTCCTGCGCATGTGAAACAGCTGACTGCAGCAGGCGGGAGGTGCTGATTGGCAGGGCTGCCGGCAGGCGGGAGGCGCTGTGGGGTGGGAGCTGATGTGGGGTTGCTAATGTATTACTGTGGCTCTTTGGCAATGTACATTGGTAAATTCAGGCTCAGGTTGGCCACCCCTGGTCTGGATCCACAAAGGGACTCAGCTGTTGCAGTGCCTATCGTCTGGAACAATAAGGAGATCCATAAAGCCTGAGTTAAATCCCTTGGCTCCTTGTATAAGGGGCTGGGGGGGGGGGGAGGGGCATTGCCTCCCTTGTAACTTTTAGCCTAGTGATTAGCGCACTCACCCAGGCTGTGGGAGACCCAGGTTTGGTCCCCCACTCTGTCTGCTGGAGAGAAGGGATCTGAACAGGGATCTCCTACCTCTAAGGAGTGTGCCCAAACCACCAGGATATTCGAATATCTCCTGTTGAAGCCATTCCACTTGGTATAATTACTGAAAGAGTCACTGGGCCACAGAGACTGACTCCATAGACTGGTGGTTAGGGCATCCAGCTGAGAGGTGGGAGCTGCAGGGTCCAGTCCCCCTGCTTCAAATCACTCTTATGCCAGGTGGAACAGCTTCACCAGAGGAGACTGAGCGAGGCTCCTCCTCCCGCTCAGAATATCCCCTAGACCAGTGGGTAGGGCACTCAGAGGTGGGAGACCCCTATTTAAATCCCTTCTCCCCATCATGCAAAGGGATGAAGTGAACCTGGGTCTCCCACACCCCAGGTAAGTGCTCTAACCACTGGGGTAAGCGTTAGGAAGGCAGGTGGCACCTCCTCCACTGGTCAGATTTGGAACATGCAGCGAACATGCTACCGCATTAGAGCCCGTAAGAAGCCAGGCAGAGGAGTGCTTGTCTTCCCTGGCTTCATGGATTGCACTGACGTGTAGGCATAAAATAGGCTGTGGATGCCCAGAGTGCAGCAGTAACTTCGGTGCCTGGAGGATTAGGCAGCAGTTGAGTGAGGGTTGTGTGGATAGCAGTGGCAGCTAATTCTGGGGGTTAGGTGCCTAAGTCCTTGAGTGGATCTGAGCCACAGCAACTGTCAGAAAAACAAGGAGTTCCAAGCAGCACACAGGTAAGACACATTCACCTTGTGGCCGCACTGGACCTTTGAGAAGCTGAGTATAGACATGTCCTCACCTTCCCATGATCTTTTATTTGGCGGACAGCCTAGCATAGTCATATTTGGTTGCCGTAGCCGTGCTGGTCCCAGGATATTAGAGAGACAAGGTGGGTGAAGTAATATTTTTTATTGCGCCAACTTCTGTTGGAGAGACAGCTCTTGAGCTACACTGAGCTCTTCTTCAGGTCTGGGAAAGGTACTCAGAAGGCCTGTCTACACTAAAAATGTAAGTGGGGGGCTTCCAGCCTCCCACACTGCCCCTCTTCAGTGGAAATGCTCCTGGTAAGGACACGCACCACCGACAGGAGAAGGATAGCATGGACATGAACTGCTGCAGTAATTACTGCAGTAGTTGTAAAATGACTTAACAGAGTCAGCAGGGAGCCAGGCCGGGCTGCTGTTTTGTAAGGTGCGCAGAGAAGATGTACTTGTCCTTTGCATTGTTGGACTTGTTCTCTAGTTCCCACAGGAGATGGAACAAGCTGCCAAAAGGCAGAAGTGTCTCTTCTTTGGTCATGTCCCACTTGCTCTGGGAATGAGCACTTTAAAAGCACAGCGACAGTAAGTGTTTGGGAGTGAGTGTTTGGAGACAAGGGGGAGGACCTAACTTTCACCACTCTTCAGAATTACAGAGAATCTGACCTCACTTCTATCAAAAAAGTCGTGCTTACTAAAAGGTGCATTTAAGTCAATGGAGCTTTAAGCTCAACTATATGGAATATATTCTTTATAATCTTCTCACTGTTATTCTTCACAACAGAACATTGCAAAGCTCAACCCTGAAGGAAGAGTCATCATCAAAGGCAGATACGTAATTACTTTTCAAATCAGTATGAGAGAGAACAAAAGATGGTGTAATTAGAGTAGCATTTACTCAATAGTTAAGGGATCAGATCTCTCGCCCAAAGATTCACAGCTTTCTAATTTGCATCTAGGTGGAACTGCACATAGCAGTCGACAGCCTATGTTGGTAGAATTGCAGTATAGACAATTTGTATTGTGTAGGTAGAATTAGGGAGAGGAGGTTCAGTCACCTCACATATCTCTGTCCTCCCACTTACAGCTGAGGAAACCATCAGAAACTAACCAGAATGTTAAACACTCTCCGGAATATTAGGGAGAAGAAAATGAGATAGAAAGGGAACAATTGCTCTGAAGCAATTCTCTCTAAGTGGTGCTCACGGTCACATTGAAGAGGTCCAGAGAGCCCATGGTAGTCAGGGTGGGCTTGCAGCCATGAGTTCCTGCTCCTTCATTGAGGGGGAAAAAAAAAGGGGGGGGGGCAGTTCTGCAGCTCAGAACTAGCCTTGCACCATCCCTACAGTTAGTGTTTCCAAGAGTGCCTCTTAGTTTCAGCTGTTTGGAGAGTGAATAGGTGTGTCCTCCTAAGCAGTTGTTTGTCAGATAGACGATGTTTCTCTTAGGATACACAGCTCAGGTACACTGAATGATAGTCACACAGCAATAATGCACAGTACCTGGGCTAGTTCAGGGGCACTGCCTTTCACAGGGAGCGTTTTATGAGCCACCGCAGCAAGATGGCTGAAACAGAAACGTGGATTAGAACCAGCAATTCCCTTAAGAAGAGCAGTTACAGGGGCTGCAGAAAGCAGCAGAACTAGGCGATCCACCCCCAACTACCAGACTAAGATCAATTTATAAGGGCCTTTGGGCAAACAGTCCTTTTCAGGACTGGATTATGAGTTTTATGTCTCACAGCTGCCTCATAAAAGAAGAAATTACTAGTTTGGCTTGCTGGTACCTATATGGATTTTAGAAGTACATACTGGAAATATACAATAGGGACCAAAGGGTTATTTGGTCTGGGATACTATAACATTTTCAAGGGGACACTAATTCCTGTCTCAGTGATTACAAGTTTGATTTGTATTATCAAATTATTCTGCTTCAGTTATCCTCCTTTGTTTCTCCGTCTCCCCTCCTCCAAGAGAAGAGCCTGAGCCAAAACATTTAGATCTAGATCCAACCCTGTCCCACGTGCAAAGGGATGCAGATTTGGGGTTTTAGGTCTGTCCACAAGGGCTAGCTGTGGAGTTCAGATCTGGAACAGAGCACCCAGATGCCTGCAGGTTCTAGGTTTGCTTGTGCTGATTTGTGGATGTTACTGGAGTTTGAGTCTACTGAAACTGAGAATTAAAGCTGTTCAAAAATAGCAAATATTTCTTTCCTTACCTGAGTGTTAGGAGGTAGCTGACAATGTGCTTGGGCTGAAGATCTTCAGAGGATTTATACAGTACCTCATCGTATCTGGGGAGAAGGTAAGGGACAGTTCAGAGCTCAGCTTGCAATCACTAGAAAACCAACTAAAGTTCTTAAAACAGGAATAAAGAAGGTGACTGTAGCTGTTGCAAATAGCATCATCATCATACAGAAGTACATTTAAAACTTGCTGAATGAATACTGTAGATTTCAGAGCTCACAACAGGTGGTCAAGATAATAAATGGTTGCTCCTGGAATATTATGTTCTGCTTTAAATCTTATTGCTGATTGTGGGCCGTTATGAGAAGAAAAATCTACATTAAATGACCACTTGAGGCACTGTCATAAAGCAGTACCTTAAAGCATGTGGCCTTTTAATAAAGGGGACTCAGAATTTTCAACAGCTTAAAGGGACTCTCATAAAATGGCCATTAGCAGATACAAACAAAAAAGTGTGTTTTCAAAATATTGAAATACAATCAGCTGAGATGAAAAACAGTATTAAAACTCAACCATGTACAGAGCTGCAGAGATAAAATGGTCCCGAATAGTTCTGTTGAGTGCTCTCTCTGACAGGCTAGTAGGAATAATCCTGCACCTGACAGCTTTGATGTTCAAAGCAGGGTCCCCTCCAAAGCAGAACTATGAAAGAGGATCTTCTGCCACTCTACTCTTTGATAGATTTCCAAGCCCTTCCATCCCAATGTGCATTCTTACAAAAGCAGAGCTTCCCTGGTAGTGTTATCTCTTGTGGTCAAGTTACAGCAAAACTGGGGAGTGGACACAGTGGGGGAGGACTCAGCAATTAGGAGACGTCTTAGAGGAACTGCATTTCTATGATTGCTCCACATTAACCTCCCATGCATGCAAACCCAAAATTGACTTATTTATTTTCGTCCTACTGTAGCACTAAGAGCCGCAGTCATGGCCAAAGACTCCATTGTGCTAGGTGCTGTCTAAACACATGACGAAAAATGTTTCCTGCCCCAAAGAGCTCACAGCCTAATGCACAACAAGCCCCTGCCTTGCTCCAGTCAGCAGGACTAATCCTCCCAAGAGGCCCCACTGTGCTCATCTTGCCCTGGCCCCTGCCTCGCTCCAGCTGGGGACCAATCCTTCCCCCCGCCACTCCCCCCCATGCCCCACTGTCAGGGTGGATAAAAATCAATGACTTAAAAAAAAAAATCAGAATTTTTTTATTTAAATTGGAATTTTGAGGAAAAACACCTATCTAAAGATATAATGTATCTTAATTAAAACTATCTCATCATGGAATAGGGATTATAAATTATAATTCTATAGTATGAGACAATATAGTCATGTAATGTTTAAGAAAGTTTTGTAAGTGAGTTCCAATAGTTCGTGGATCAGATACCCAATTTTATGGGGTTCCAGGGGTTTCTGTATAGATTATTTAGGTTAATATTTCTACCCAATGGGACTCAGTGCTCAGACTAAAAGATACCATCAGAGATACTTAGATTTGCAGTTCTCAAACTGTGGATTTGGGTCTCCAGAGGTAACATGCTTGTTAACTGCATAAATGTTTTTAAATAAATAAATAATATACAGAGGTGAGAAATAACAGACCTCAACTCTATTGTCCCTCTGAAAATCTGTGTAAACAGAGTCAATCCCTTACCTCTCTTTAAAAGTGAAAAGTTTCAAAAAGTTCAATGAATAGAAGATTGTTGAGGGCGAAATAGATCTGGACAAGGAGAAGAAGTCTGGAGATAAATGTGAGAAGCGAGGGACATATGCTTTTTTGTTAAAATATTATGTTTGCTGTTGAAGAAAAAAATCCAGAATACTTAACATTGTTGTTTTAGTTAAATAGAACAATTTCAATGTCTGTCTGGTGATGTTCTCCTCCTAATACAGCCTGGCAAGAAAATCCTCCACATTTTAATGATTAACCTGTTGAATTGGAGATAGTTCACCTCCCAATGACTTCATAAATAACTGCTTCAATTATCTTTGGTAAATGAAATAACCAATCATTCATTTTCTGATATAGCTGTAAAACTCATCTGAAAAGTTTTCAAAATAAATCACGGTTTAAAAATATATAGTGTGTACCTTCTAAAAATGAAACCAACATCTATCTCTGAGTTGTGAAGAATAGGTATTAAGGTTATAACAACCAACAAGAATGCACTTTTATGTAGAAAACCATGAGTAAATCGAGTCTTCCTGACTAGTGATTTAAATCATGATTTAAATCAAATCCACCCTGCCCTCTGTGCTCTTGCCCCTGGCCCTTTCATTCCCCAAGGGGGCCCACAAATATCTTTGGCACTGGGAACAGTGAGTTCCCACGGTGGGCCTGGGTAAGGGGGAAATGAAGGAAGTGGGGATGAGGGGGATGGGGGAAGAGACAGTGGGGAAGGACGAGGGATGGAATAAGGCAGGGGGAGGGAATGTGGGAAGGGGGATGGACAGCAGCTGGGGCTCCCCCATTAAGCAGGCCCATCAAACCCTCACCCTGACAAGCCCTACCCCCATAGACCTGGACCCCTCTGACAAGCCCCCCACACCCAGACCCTCACCCCACTGAGTTCCCACAGCAGCACCTGGACTCCCACCCTATCAAGCCCCACTCTCCCAGCACCTAGACCTCCTCGCCAAGCCCCATCTTCCCACACCCAGACCCCCCCCTCCCCCCAAGAGCCCAACCACCATCACCTGGATCCCCTGCAGAGTCCCATTGCCCCTACACCTGGAACCCCCAACGAGCCCTTGTGCATCCAGATCTTCCACTGAGCCACCTGCACCCAGATTGCCCCACACAGAAACCTCTCACCCCATGCCTGGATCCCCCCACACTAAGCCCCTCCACACTTGGATCCTGCAGGGCTGAGCCTGCCCACCCTCACCTGGTGCACCTGGTGCAGAGGGGCAGGGCCCCAGGGTGTTTCTGGGGCAAGCCCAGCCCTTGTACTGTGTCAGGGTCAGATGCAGCCTCACTGCTGAGTCCCTATACTGGGGGAGATGTGGGCTTCAGGGTGATCTCCCACCTCAATGCAGCCAGTGGCCCATGTTCCTCACTGCCATGCTGGAGCCACATTTATTTATTGACAAATAAAATTTACAGAATTGTAAAAGATTTTGCACACAATTTTTAATTTCTTGACACAATTCCCTTAGGAGTATCAGCTTGTAGGAAAAAGGGCCTTTAGCATTCTAAGGCTAATATATCGGACTTCCCAGACCTTCTTGTAGCCGTCTGGCCTGACTTTGTCACAGCTGGTTGCTAATACCAAGTTCACTGAACTATCAAGCAGCTATTAAATGAAGAGGCTAGTCTCTGCTACTGCAATCTGATAGCCACATGAAATAAACTAATGAGTAGAGCTGGCTGAAAGTCAGAATTTCCGGTCCATGGGAAATTAAAAAAACAAAACTGTTCAGCTTCAGAACAGAAACAAATTTTTGAAATTTGCTGTGGAAGGGAAATTAGAAAAAAATAGTTTAAAACTTTTTGAAATTGACCCTGGGAGCCAAATGCCAAGGTTCCAGCTTCAGCCAAAAGCCTAGAAGCCCTGGGAACCACAACTGAGCTGTGAGCCTCAGAGCTAGGGAGCTGGGGTTTCCAGCTCTGACAGAGAGCCTGGAAGCCCTGAGAGCTGGGGACCCTGGAAGTACTGGGTCTGCAGCCCTGGGGCAGTCCACATGGCTGAGCTGCCCTGTATTTCATCAAATATTCATCAACACTGACATGTTTCCATAAACATTTTGGTTTCAACGAATTGGCATTTTCTGACTAAACCCTAGCTTTGTCTGAAAATTCTTGAGCAGCTCTCCTAAAGAGTTCTTCTGTCTATCCTCTGACTGCCAGAACCTGGGAATGGAGGACAGAGGATGCATCATTTGATGATTGCCTGTTCTGTTCATTCCTCTGAAGCACCTGACACTGAGACAGGATACTGGGCTAGATGCACCATTGGTCTGTCCCAGTACGGCTGTTCTTATGTTAAGTGAAATAAGTCAGCTTCTGCAGGGAAGATGTGCTACCACAAATCTACCATCCCAAGAGATTCACTGGTCTACAAATATTATCTAGATTAATGATGTTTAGCCTGACCAGATCAAAGGCCAAGTATTTTTGTTATATTGTCAAAGGCCACAATCAAAGCAATGAAAGTGGGTTTAAGCCGCTAGGAAGGCTTTTGCTCTTGACTGCCTGGAGGGAGGATGGTATGAAAAGTGGCAGCATGGTGCAGGGTCTAGGACATTCAGCTGGGAATTCTGGGCTCTATATTCAGCTCTGCCATTGACTTCCTGTGTGGCACTGGGCAAGTCCTCACACCTTTCTGTGCTTGAGATTCCACACCTATAAACTAGGGGCAATAATGCTTGCTCAGCTTTGTCAGAATGTTAAGAATTATCAATGAAAAGCACTATATACGAACTAAGTACTATTATTAGGGATTGGTTTGTGGGTATTCTTCATGGCTACTAGAAGTGGGTGGATGTTCCATTCCCCTCCTCCTAAGAGCATTTCCTCACCCCTTTTCCCATGGGATCCAGAGATCCCATCCACCAGGTCCATGTTTATATAGCTTATTACATTTACAAAAGAACTGTACTAACCTTTACTCATTAGCAACTAAGTAACAATTAGTTACAGGCGCCCAATATTGTTAATAGTATTAACAATTAGTAACAGGCATCCAGTTACTCAGAGGTATTTTCCCCGCATGATCATTTTTCATTCAGCTTCTGAAATCAACACATTCATTTACATCTAAACATGTGTATTACAAGTATGGGCTTGTGCAACAGGCCCAATGATCAACAAGTTATTGCCTAAAATGTTCGTTTCTACTCTTCCACTGCCATGTAACTAATAACTTATTCAACATGCAGGCATCAAACCCCAAGGATCTGCTTCTTGGAAAGACAAACAGTAAATACCTGAGAAGGTGCTGAAGGACTGAGATGGCCTGTGGATCTTGTAAACAAGCTGTATTAATGTCAGTTGATTGCCCGTTCCTACACATCTGCTCTAAACTAGAAAACATAAGAGCCCAGTGTGAGAAAACAAATGCTTTTGTAAATTTAAAAATAAAACAACCTTCACCAGCAAAGCTGCATAAGAATTAAAACCAATGTGCACTTAAAGGAGAACAAAATTGGAATCTAGATACACTGTTTGCAAGCTGACTAAAACATTTGAGTTAGACTGGCTGAGTTAAATCCAAGAAAAAAAGCTATTTTACTTGAGCCAGCATTGAATATACATGTCAGTAACTTTACAGAAAGATCCCCTGAAAGAACATGACAGTTTAAAAGGGCACTGTCAAGTTTGATCTTTTTGGAATAAAAAAAAAAAAAAAAAAAAAAAAAATACAATTCAGGAGTATGACACAATGCTGATGTCGACAGTCTGACTGAGTGCTTTATCTTCAATCTCGGTATTTCTCCTATGGATTTTTAAAATTTCCTAAGATACAATTGTGTGTGATCACAAAAGGACATAATTAAGGCTGGAGTTGGTCACTGCAGCTAGTGAAAGTTCAGTCAAATCACAGTTTAAATATTGTAGCAAGGTGTATTTAGCAGATCCAGAAGACTCCAGGCCAGATTCCTTGACTATAGCTGAGCATCACTGATCTGGGGGCCAGTCTTTGCCATACCCTAATTTGGACCAGCCATCCCAAGCGGCTGTTACAGCAGCCAGGAATTACTAGGACTTCCCATCTGGCCATGCCTCTGCCCCAGCCAGAGGGAGAGGGCTTGCAAGTTTCATTTTCCTTGGTTTTCCTATCTGAGGTCTCAACTGAATGGATGAGAGATTCAAATCTTTAGGAAAGGCTTCATCACAAATGTTACTCAGTCACTGGAGTAAAATAGACGTTAATAAAAACAGAAAATTTCTCCACTCTGGAAGGCTCTTCTTACCTGTGGAGTCTGGCATGTGTGTACTGCAGGAATACGCCTGTATCTCCCCGACTTTGGAGAACCCGGTCCCAACTAAACTGATAATCGGATGATAGAAGACCTTTGAAATCCTAAAATGATAACAGTTGCTATTCAGCATCATGTAGCTAGTGTTCCCAGTGCCAATTTATAGTCTCTCACAGAAGAAGGAATAATCAGAAGACAGTTTAAACAGACCTGAATTATGAGCGCTGCAAGCCCAATCTTTTCTGCAGTCTCAAGAGGGTTTTCCAGTTCTTTAGTTGCTGAACAGATACAAGCAAAAACAGATGATGAAAATCTGCAACAATGTAACTGGTTCATGGGTCAGAACTACAGCAGCAGGTGGAAGAGCAGATTTGATTAAAATTCATACCAGCAATAAAACAAATTGTCAGGCTGCAAGGGCCGACAAAGTCTGAATGTAAAACTTTTTACATCGAGGCTACCTTTCTTTAAAAGAACTAGGGGTCACCAAATGAAATTAATAGGCAGCATGTTTAAAACATACAAAAGGAAGTATTTCTTCACACAGTGCACAGTCAACCTGTGGAACTCTTTGCCAGAGGATGTTGTGAAGGCCAAGACTATAACAGGGTTCAAAAAAGAACTAGGTAAGTTCATGGAGAATAGAGGTCCATCAGTGGCTATTAGCCAAGATGGGCAGGGATGGTGTCCCTAGCCTGTGTTTGCAAGAAGCTGGGAATGAGCAACAGGGATGGATCACTTGATAACCTGTTCTGTTCATTCCCTCTGGCATTGGCCACTGTCGGAAGACAGGATACAGGGCTAGATGGACCTTTTGTCTGACCTAGTATGGCCGCTCTTATTTTCTTATGCTCAATATGATTCATAGATTTTAAGGCCAAGGGGATAGTCTAGTCTGACCCACTACGTAACACAGGCCATTGAATTTCACCCTGTAATTCTGGCATCAAGTCCATAACTTCTGGTTGAGCTACAGCATCTCTTTTAGAAAGACATCCAGAGAGATCTCAAATGATGGAGAATCTAGCACATTCCTAGGTAAATTGTTCCAATGTGAACCTTATTTCTAATCTGAATTTGTCTGGCTCCAGCTTCCAATCACTGGGTCTTATTACGTCTTTGCCTGCCTGATTAAAGAGCCTTCTATTATCAGAAATCTTCTCCCACATGAGTACTTACGGACTGGGATCAAATCCCTACTAAGCCTTCTCTTGGATAAGCTAACTAGACAGAACTTCTTAAATCTCTCACTGTGAGACTAATTTATCTGCCTTGAAACATCACTGATAAATAAGCTAACAAAGGATACCTGTTTTCACTGCAGCTGTTGGAAGGACCTTGGCTGGAAAGTTATTTCGTGACTGCTTTCAGCAATTCTTCAGTGTGCAAGCAGCTCTCTCACTCCTGCAGCAATCCACTAAAGGGACTGTTTTATTCCTATTTGCCCCCCGAGAGGTGAGATCACACAGTGCTAAGCTGGGATCATAGTGCTCTTCACAAAGACATTCGGAGACTGGTGCACACATCACCAGTGTTTTGGAAGGAAGGTTAGCTCCAGGTGCACCAGCCCACATCTTCAGGCAATATATTAAATTGTGTTTGGACTCACTAACTTCACCTAACGTGGTGACACTCTTGGTCTATTTAAAACAGTCCATTTTTAAATTCAGATCATATCTGCCTTCTGTCGAGGTCTCTTCTTCCTATTTGCAGGAGGATCCTAGTGCAGTTTCCTAGGACACAAGGCTGCCACACACACTCTGCGGAGAGGGCCTTTTTAATTTCGGTCTATGGGCTATGTCTACAAAGTCAGAGCTGTACACTATTCTCCATCCACAGCTGATCTCCCAGTTGGAAATTTGCACAAAGACAGAGGGGAAGATATGGCCGTTATGTAAAATCTAAATACATCACTCAATGGGAACGAAGATGCACATTTAGAACTTATCTATGCCATTTGCTAGGCTATTTGCACATGCAGTTACCAGGTTTGCACATGCAGCTGAGGTAATTGTCCAAATTAGTGAGAACTGTGCACCTTAATTTTTTTGAAAAAAAACTTTCAAGGTGTCATCCTTGGGTTTCATTGCTAATGCCCCACTGCGATGAGTGGGGGCAATTCACATCACTTAGAACTGTTTGCCCACCTGCTTGCTTAGGAAGACAACTCTGCATTGGTTACACTGTTCATATCTGGAAGGATTTTTTTTGCAACTCTTAGGGCAGATGTTTATATTTTAAATATATTCTGCAGAATGCAAGCTTTCATAAGCCAGTCAGAGGGGCTTGTTAGCTACCTTAAGTGGGCTAGTTCTAGTGTGCAAGCCAAGTATTTAACACCATCATAAGCAAATTCTTCCTGGCAACATAGTGGGAAGACAACCCTTGCTGTAACTAGAAAACCCACAGGGCCAACTGCTCACAATTACCCCACCGAGACACAAAAACAAGCATCTCCAGCCCCACCACTTTCTGAGCCCAGAGAGAAGAGAGATCAATGGCAAGCCCTTCAGCATCGGTGCTAGGAGCCCTGCAGCACAGCTGATCCTGAGTTTGACGCCATGAAGTTGCAAGGATGACTCTCACCCAAGGTCTGCTGCATTTACAGGAACCTGGAGCACTTAAGCAAATTTTTTTGAAAAACCATCAATTCCCTGGTTCTGTGCTGATGTCCTTTCAGCCTCCTCTCAAAATTAAAATGTATTAAAATCCCACAGTATCAGATAATGATTGAAATTATTACGTATTAGTACCATAGGTTTACAGGGTGCTTTACAAAACACAACTTAGGTTCCTGCCACAAGGAGTTCACAATCGAGGTAAGACACATACAATTCAAGGAAGCTGGAGCGGGTAGAAGCAGTCACAGCTGAGGTAAATCAATGATGAAAGGCTATGCAGAAATGATAAGGAGATATTTGAAGGAGAGGACAGTGGATGTTTGTTGCACAGAAAGAGAGTCTGATCCAGCAAGAAAAAGGTCCAGAGGCACAAGTGGAGCAGGTGCTCCTGGGGGAATTCTGCACCACTTGCAATGTAAAATTTGAACAGAATTAATGTTCTATGCAGAATTTCATTTTTCCCCACAGAATTGGTGCTGCAGAGCTGCTGACTGCCGCTAGGTGCCACTGGACCCAGCGAGTCTGGCTCCGCAGCTCACAGTGTGCCTGTGCAGGAGGTGTGACAGGGTTGTGGGTCCAAGGTTTGGCAGCCCTGCTTGGTCACATATTGTGGCCGGGCTCCCTTCCTGCACGGCAACTGCCGGAGTCAGTGAGCTGCACCCTGGGGGAAGAGGTAGGAGCAACAGCTGGGAGCTGCATGGAAAGGCCTCTGCTTTCTGGGAGGGGAGACTGAGGATAAGGGAGGGTGAATGCTCTGGAGGGAGATGGGGGTGCATGACTCAAGTGACACCCTCCCCCACTATCAGCAGGTACAGGCCATCTCTGCCCGGTGGGACAGTAACAAAGCAGTGTGGGGCAGAGCCTGTGACTGGGCTCAGTAAGGGAAGAGGGTGCGGGCTTCTGGGCCAGGGGGTCCCCGTGCAGACCCACCCAAATACCCCCTCCAGCACCGCCCAGCAGTGTCCTCTATTTGGGAACTTGAAATATGGTAACCCTAAGGGGGATGGAAAAATGAGAATTGACTGAAAGACCGGGAGGACCTATTATTCCCCTAAATTGTGCCCAGCTGGCACGTGTGACACACCCAGAATGAGGGCCCGACAAAAGCATAACAAAGAAACAGGAAGTGGGTTGTCGAAGAGGCTTCTTGAACTCTCTACTTCTGGGGGAAATCTTTTTTGTTGTCTGTATTGTTACAGACATACTTGCTGACAGGCATTTTGAAATAAATTACCAAAATGATTGAAACTGGTGTGATTATATTGTGTTATTTTGACAAATAAAATATACGGAATTTTAAAATACTGTGCGCAGAATTTTTAATTTCTGGGCACAGACCTCCCCCAAGAGTAAACAGGGAACAGAGAGAGCATTAAGGAGAGAGGACTCTACTGAAGATAAGGCTTGTGAGAAGGTGTAGAGGGAAAAAAGGATACAAGAATGGAAATGCAGGCAGCACAGAGTTGTGCAGAGTCTTAACAGCAAGGACAATGAGATACCTAATAGCCCATATCAATATAGGCAAGATTTTCAAAGTAACAGATGGCAGGTAAGTGCCTTTGGAAATGCCCTCCCCAGCATCTGAGCACTTCAAACATTAATGAAACACTTCAAACAACTATTGCCATTTTACAAGTGAGGAAGTGAGGCAGAGCAAGATTAAGGGTAGTGGGTAAAACTTTTAGAAGTGCCTGTGTGAGTGAGAAGACTAAGGTCCATTTTCAAAAGTGATTTAGGAGCTTACAGTCCATTCATTCCTGGGTTCTGTTCCCAGCTCAGCCACTAACTTGCTGCATCATGGTAGGATAAAAGTGCCTTGCCCGTCCATTAAAAGGGGCAATAGCTTCCCTTCATTGCAGAGTTGTTGTGAAGCAACATTCATTCCATGTTTTTCAAGCTGTATGGCCTCCTATGCTTCAGGAAAGCTATTTGAGATTCTAGCTATGGAAGGGCAAAGTGTTATTACTACTTTATTTATATCATCACAGATGGTGGAAAGACACAGATCAGAGTCTGTTGCTCTGGGTTACTGGATGTGGGGGAGGGTGATGGGGGGGGAGGAGAAAGGGATATTGTAATCTGCATGGGAATATTTTAAGAGAAATGAATAAAACCTGAGTCAGCTAACTTTTTGCAGAAGCCATGTTTTGTAACATCCTTGAGCGAGCTTCATTTAAAACATCTTCCAGGAAAACCACCTCTCCTTTTCGTGTCTTCATCCCCTGCACTAGCCCAAAAGACACATGCTGACACCTGCATTGAAAACAGCAGGATCTAAAATCATATTTTAATCAACAGAAATGCCTGCAATGTTTGTTTAGGCAGGGCCCTGAACCAGGCTGTAGTAGTAACTGCTGAACAAACATCATTCAACATAGAAAGCTCAGCAATGTCATCATTACCTCACTTCAAAAACCATCTCTCCATGCACACCTTATAATTAGACAGAAAGGACCAGAATTATGATAACCTGGTCATTCATACACGCTCAGGAGACTGGTACTTTGTAGCAGCTGTGTTAGGCTTTAATATAGAAGACTCAGTACAATAAGCTAAGAAGAGGCAGGATGTAAAATATTACACTCATAAAAGTATATTAGCTCTTAAGATTATTACTATTTGAGCACACAGTGTGCAGATACAGAGGTGTAATGACTTTGATGGGCAATATTTCCTCCTTTCTTGCTTTATGTACCCTACTGTTCATACCAAGGAGTTTCAAGGGGCCTATTAAAGGTTTTCTGATTATCATTGCTCGTTTTTCCTTTTTAATATATCTCCATCCCAATAAAAAAGTAGCAATTATGACACCCACACCTACCTTTCTGCCCATTGGTAGCCCATGAGCTTCAGAATTTGGAACAGCTGTTCAAAGTGAGTGTTTTGACTTTTATCTGTCTTAGGGGAAAAAATGAGTGCATTTTAGAAGACATCCCTGCTTAGGTAGAGAGACAGCAGAACTAAGATCTGGAAAACAGACTGGATTTGAAATATATAATAGTGTAAGTACTTTGACATCAACCCACTCTAGAATCTTACTACTGATAAAATACTTTATCTTTTTTAAAACAGTTTATTCTATATCATTTTAGTACAGGCCTTTGAATTAATCTACTTTAAATATCACCTTTAAATTCATACATTTTGTCTAATCTCCCATCAGAAAGGATGCATTCATATCCAGGGCTGAGCCTTGAAGCCCCTGTCATTGGCGGTTGATTTACATCATCAATACAAATACTGGGCAGAAACCCATGAAAGCCTATAAATGATATACCACTACTGGCTGAAAAGGTTTCCACTGAAAGCCACAAGGCAGTTCCTTGCTATGGTCTACATTCTCTGCCTCCCCAGCACTGTCATCCCCCCATAAAAAAAGGCTCCAGAGGCGATCCTGGCAACTACAGGCCGTTAAGCCTAACTTCAATACCAGGCAATCTGGTTGAAACCATAGTGAATAACAGAATTATTAGACACACAAATGAACTTGATTTGTTTGGGAAGAGACAACATGGCTTTTGTACAGGGAAATCGCATCTCACCAATTAGAATTCTTTGAAGGGTCAACAAACACATGGACAAGGATGATCCAGTTGATATAGTGTACTTGGACTTTCAGAAAAGGTCTCTCACCAAAGGCTCTTAAGCAAATTAAGCAGTCATGGTTTAGAACAGTGGTTCTCAAACTTGGGACGCCGCTTGTGTAGGGAAAGCCCCTGTTGGGCCGGGCCGGTTTGTTTACCTGCCAGGTCCGCAGGTTCGGCCGATCGCGGTTCCCGCTGGCTGCGGTTCGCCGCTCCAGGCCAATAGGGGCTGCAGGAAGTGGCGCGGGCCGAGGGACGTACTGGCCGCCCTTCCTGCAGCCTCCATTGACCTGGTGCGGCGAACTGCAGCCAGTGGGAGCCGCGATTGGCCGAACCTGTGGACATGGCAGGTAAACAAACCGGCCCGGCCTGCCAGGGGCTTTCCCTGAACAAGCGGCGGCCCTAGTTTGAGAACCACTGGTTTAGAGGGAAGGCCCTTTCATGGATCAATAACTGGTTAAAAACAGGAAACAAAGGGTAGGAATAAATGGTCAGTTTTCACAATGGAGAGAAGTAAACAGCAGGGTTCCCCTGGGATACTGGGATCTTTGCTGTTCAATGTATTCATTAATGATCTGGAAAAGGGAGTGAACAGTGAAGTGGCAAAGTTTGCAGATGATACAAAATGATTCAAAATAGTTAAGTCCAAAGGTGACTGGGCAAACAAAACAGCAGATGAAATTCAACCCTGATAAGTGCAAAACAGGGCCGGCTCCAGGCACCAGCGGAGGAAGCACGTGCCTGGAGCAGCACAAGCTAAGGGGCAGCATTTCGTCCATTCTTGGGGCGGCACAGTCCAAGGGTCTTTTTTTTTTTTTTTGCGCTAGGGATGGCAAAAATGGTAGAGCCGGACCTGGTGCAAAATAATGCATATTGGAAAAAATAATCCCAACTACACCTACAAAATGATGGCGTCTAAAATAGCTGTTACTACTCAAGAATGAGATCTTGAGTCATTGTGGAGAGTTCTCTGAAAACATCTGCTCAATGTGCAGCGGCAATCAAAAAAGCTAACAAAGTTAGGAACCATTTAGGAAAAAGACAGAAATAAGAAAATATCACATTGCCACTATATAAATCCATGGCACACTCACACCTTGAATACTGTGTGTAGTTCTGCTCACCCCATCTCAAAAAAGATATGTTAGAACTGGAAAAGATACAGGGAAGGACAACAAAAATGATTTAAAGGTACAGAACAGCTTCCATATGAGGAGAGATTAAAAAGACTGGGACTGTTCATCTTAGAAAAGAGGCGACTAAAGGGGGATATGACAGAGGTCTATAAAATCAAGAATGGTGTAGTGAAAGTCAAGAAGGAAGTGTTATTTACCCCTTCACATAACACACAAACCAGGGGTCACCACATGAAATTAATAGGCAGCAGGCTTAAAAGAAACAAACAAGTACTTCTTCACTCAACACAGAGTCAACCTGTCGAACTTATTGCCAGGGGATGGTGTGAAGGCCAAAAGTATAACTGGGTTCAGAAAATAACTAGATAAGTTCATGAAGGAGAGGTCCCTCAGTGGCTATTAGCCAAGATGGTCAGAGATGCAACCCCGTGCTCTGAATGTCCCTAAGCCGCCGAATGCCAGAAGCTAGTACTGGGTGACAGGGAAATTGGATCATTCAAAATTACCCTGTTCTATTCATTCCCTTTGAAGCATCTGACTTTCAGAAGACAGGATACTGGGCTAGATGAACCATTAGTCTCACCTAGTATGGCCTTATGATCTTATGTGACATTTCAGCACTTCTGGGACACTGGGCCAGAGACAAATGTATATATTTTAAACACACATGCTGTATAATCATAGAATCATAGGAATGAAGTGTTGGAAGGGACCTCAGGAGGACATCTAGTCAATCCCCCATACTGAGTCAAGACCAAGTATACACAGACCATCCCTGACAGGTATCTGTCTAATTCGTTCTTAAAAACCTCCAATAACAGGGATTCCACAACCTCCTTTGGAAGCCTATTTCAGTACTTAACTATCCTAATAGTTAGAAAGTTCAGTGAACATGGAAAACAATTGAATCACTGTCCTCTTTATAACACCCCTTAATGCCCATATCCTATTTGAAGACAGTTATCAGGTCTCCTGTCAGCCTTCTTTTCTCAAGACTAAACACACCCAGTTTTTTTTTTTTAACCTTTCCTCATAGGTCAGGTTTTTTAAACCTTTTATTACTTTTGTTGCTCTCCTCTTGACTTTCACCAGTTTATCCACATCTTTCCTAAAGTGTGGTGCCCAAAACTGGACACAGTACTCCAGCGGAGGCCTTACCAGTGCCAAGTAGAACGATTACTTCCCGTGTCTTACATACAAGACTCCTGTTAATATACCCCAGATATTAGTCTTTTTCATAACTGCATCACATTGTTGGCTTATATTTAATTAATGAGCCACTATAACCCCCAGATCCTTTTCAGGAGTACTACTGCCTAGCCAGTTATTCCCCATTTTGTAGTTGTGCATTTGATTTTTTCCTTAGTAACAGATAATGCTCATCTCTCAAATATTAATATTTTACATTAAATATACATTTGCTGCTCTCCTCATCTTTCAATTCATCTCTCCTGTGACTGTTACAGACTTCCCATTGGAATTAACCTTTCTCTGTACTCAACAACAGGTTTGCTATAGGCATCATGGGATGCAGGTTTCCTCACCTAGTTAAGATGGCAGAATTCACCACCACTCCTTCATTCTAGTTTGCTCCTGAACTACAGCCCCACAGGCCATATTTGACAGACCACTACTGCAAGAACTGAATGATTTTTGTTCTTCTTTATTCTTTTTCAAGCCCAGGCCAGGAATTTCCAGAGCTGGAATTAGTAATTCATGTATCTGTTGTTATAGAAGAGTACAGATGAGAGATGAACTAGGTGACCTGGCAGGTGATTTCCATTTCTAACTTCTCAGAGACACTGTAATTTCAATGGCCATACTAGTTACCTCGCAGGTTCCAGCTTTTGTTGCAAGAGCATAAGGATTATGCCAGGGAGAAGAAGAAAGTTAGACATAAGGACTGAACAATTACTAAAAGTTCTCGGGCTATGTTAGGGCACTGACTCTGCACTGGTCCATCTCATTATTATCGATTTCAGCCTTCATTCTCTTTTGGTGCAAAGTGTTTCGTTATTTTCACTTTGTCGCTTTCTTGTAACTCATGGCAATCACAGGAGCAAACTGCACACATCAGCGACTGCTACATCAGTAACTAGGTCCATAACTTCTGGAGCATTGTTTCTCTGTTGGAAAGCAGCTCCTTGGTGACAAGGAATGCAGCATGTTGCGATTGGTGGAAAACGCATTATTCTGATGTCACAAGAGGGGAAGACAAGCTAATGGAAACTCCTTGGAGCCAGAAAATGAAGAGCTAAAAAGATCTGGACTTTTGGTTCTACATTTACTGGCTCCAATGATTTTTCCAAAGGCACTGTATTACGTAACGTTATACTGGCTAATGAAAGCATGATACCAAGCACGCTGTATAGACATCTCCAGACACATCATAAGGAGCATGCCAAAAAACCTGTAGATTTGCTTCCCAGAGGACATTAACTGACTCCATATACTAAAAAGTGGTTTTCAAAAGGTTACCTTTATCTCTGAAAAAACCTTAAAGGCATCACATGCTGTATCTTTAGAATTGCTAAAACTAAGAAGTTTTACACAACAGACAAGGAGGTAATCCTACTATCCATTACTGATACTGCTGAAGTCATGTTAAAAAAACAGCAGACTGTTAAAATGCTCCAAGTCTGCAACTGCTTTGCCCAGATGGATTAAACAGCTCTTGATGTGCAATTCCAACTGAATCAACAATAGAGCAACTGATGTACTGTAAACAAGCTATAAAATTCAGATATGTGACACTATACTGGGACTTTAAAAATTAAAGTTCTATGTAAATGGATTTTAGAATATGACTTTAATAGTATATTTTATATCCTTTTATATGCTAAAACAATTATAAGAATCAACTTTTAACTTGATTCAATATTTAATAACAATATTTATCTGGAAAATGATCTGTTTGAGTAAAAGCTATTTTTGAGCAAATTACAATTAATTTTTAAGATGGTGAGTCCCACATGATTTTTCAGCCATTTTGTGGGTCATGAACCAAAAAAGGATTGAGAACCATTGTGTGGAATAGCTGCTGTGCCTTGAGGCCCTCTAAATGTCTATTGTGATGCCAAGTACCATGTGCCACGGTCACACTGGGAGCAAGAGAGGCCCTGTATTAATAAAAAGAGTTAAACTCAAAGGTGTTGTGTGCATCTAAAATTACTTACCACATAAATCATAGTATCACAGTTATATTTCTTCATTCGGTCTATAGCAGCAGCAAGATCTCTGGAAGAGATAAATGAGAAATTCTCAATCAAACTAAATACACCTCATTATTTAGAATGGGTTGCCTGGTGGGAAAATTCTCTACCTTTGTGGAAAGGGAGGGACTGTAAAAATGAACAAGTGCATTATGGTGAGTTTTCACCTTGTACTGAAGCCACTGCCAGAGAGAGAATACCAGGTTAAATGAATCAATGTATACTTCATGCAAAAGAGTAAGCATCTGGTCTTTGTTCATTACATATTTTTAGAATTCAGTGTTGTTGTTTTTAAACTCATTGATTATGGTCAGAAAAGCGAGTAGGAAAAATGACTTCTTGCACAGTACAAATCTGGTCTCTGTGTCCCTACTGGGACAGTGAAATGATCAAACAACTGGGGGAATCTTGTGAGCAGAGAAGATAGAACCTTCACATAGACTATGGCGCTCACTCCTGCAAGAGATAAGAATGACCTCTAACCACAGTCTCAGAACTGAATGCAGAGCACCTCTTCAACACAGCTTTTCTCAAGAAGTTCTTCACACACACACACACACACACACACACACACTCTCTCTCCTCCCACCCAAACACTAAAAAAAGTCTGATTTTTGTCAGCTTTGTGGTATGAACTAAAGTGACTAAGCCAGAAAGATGGTGGTAATAATTGATGTAGCAGGCTATCAGCACTGCAGAGCCAATAAAGATGTGGAAGAGCAAACTATGCTAGTCTACATCACGCTTCATGAATAAGAGTGCTAGTCAAGTGCTTCTAAAATCTTTGTTGTGGTCAATTATTTGTCAAGCAGAAAGAATATAGCTTTGTTTTCAGTCTATTCATATGGTTGATAGCTGGAACAAAAAAAATGTCCTATAAATAGAGTAGATTTCCTATTGGACTCTTAGAGAATAAATCTAGAAAAACAAGGCTTCATTTTTTAAAGTAACTACCTAGCTCTCCATAGTTATATTGTCACTAACCTTCAGTTATTCAGATTATTGACTAGTCGTGATGTAGTGTTCCTATAACAAAAAGCTTCCAGTGTTTAAATCCCTCAAAGAGACTACTAATGCGAATTACACAAGAGTTTACCACTGAACTAAATCCAAAGTGTAGCATAGACAGAGTCACTTGCCTTGTTATATAAAGAGATGTCCCATCACTACGCATTACAGTGGAAGACAATGAGAGGTCTCTTTTTTCAGAAAGATCCACTACTCTTGTTCCTTTGCTGAAAATGAAAAACAAACAAAAGAAACCCCAACCACATAACATCATTTAAAATAACTGCAAACCAGAATTGAAATACAGAATCCAAGAAAAAGAATCAGATGACACATACATAAAGAAAAGATCTTTCTTCATGCCGCCCGCTATTCTTGGAACAGTCTCATTCCTCTTGTGCACAGAGAATCTTCCCTCTACTCCTTCACATGCCCTTTGCATTAGTAGGAGTATTGCCAGCAGATCGAGGGAAGTGATTATTCCCCTCTATTCGGCACTCGTGAGACCACATCTGGAGTATTGCATCCAGTTTTGGGCCCCCCACTACAGAAAGGATGTGGACAAATTGGAGAGAGTCCAGTGGAGGACAACGAAAATTATTAGGGGGCTGGAGCACATGACTTATGAGGAGAGGCTGAGGGAACTGGGCTTATTTTGTCTGCAGGAGAGAAGGGAGAGAGGGGATTTGATAGCAGCCTTCAACTACCTGAAGGGGGGGTTCCAAAGAGGATGGAGCTCGGCTGTTCTCAGTGGTGGCAGATGACAGAACAAGGAGCAATGGTCTCAAGTTGCAGTGGTGAAGGTCTAGGTTGGATATTAGGAAAAACTATTTCACTAGGAGGGTGGTGAAGCACTGGAATGGGTTCCCTAGGGAGGTGGTGGAATCTCCATCCTTAGAGATTTTCAAGGCCCAGCTTGACAAAGCCCTGGCTGGGATGATTTAGTTGGGATTGGTCCTGTTTTGAGCAGGGGGTTGGACTAGATGACCTCCTGAGGTCTCTTCCAACCCTAATCTTCTATGATCTCTCTTTCATAACCACTTCTTTCACCTTGCCTTCCATTGCTGATATCAGAGAATTGCCTGTTCTCACTCTTGTGGCTCATCTTTTATGAGTGTTGGTTCCACACATGTTAAGATTGTCACTACCTCAGGACAGGGACACATCTAACTCAATTTATTAAGTACCATGTACCACTATGGTGCTATATAACTAACAAACAGCATAACAGGCCATTAAATAATTAGTCAGGAAGACCATTTTCCCCAATATGAAACACTTTCACTGTGCCCAGTTTTAGCTGCAACTCCACTTATTCTACATTAGCTAAAAGGAAGAGGAAGACTAGGTTCTTCCACATGATATTATACTGAAAGTACTTGTGGGTTTTTTCCCCTTATACAACTACTGAGCAGCATATTTTTATATATCTATATCTATATATATCCACCACATCTTTTATATTTGAAATATGACAATAGCAAAGCGTTAAAAAAAATCACAACTGTTATAATGAAAACAAAATAACCTTTCATACATTGTTTTCTGAAGGAGTCCTTTAGTGTCCAACATCTTTAGAACTTCCTGGGACTTCTCTTGATAAAATGATTCTCCAGAATATTCATCAAAATGCACTCCTAGACGCTGAAAGTTTCCAGGAACAGAAAGGAAAACACTGTTAGGGTGAGACTTGCACTTTCTTCAAGTCTTTAAATTTGCTATAAGTCAGATGATGGGTCTGTATGGTAGGCCATCGAGATGGGGAGAGTAACGATGGATTTTAGTCATGAACAGCTAGTATTTGTTGTCAAAAGGAAGGGATGTTGGGTTTTAATTTAATCTCTGGTTCATTACATTTTGGTTTTTGGATGAGGAGCAGCTGCTATTTTATTTTAATTCACAGCAAAGGCACTTGTCTAGAGCCTGGGATAGGTTCTTTCATAATATTTATTATAAATGAAAATAAAACACAAAAGAATGGAAACTGGTTTTAATTAAGTGTTCGTGTGTGAGAGAGGACTTCACTTTAACTGCACTCTATCTGCAGACAGCTTTTGTACTGATTGTTGTAACTTCCAGTTATTGTAATTTTTCATGATCAACTGAATCTGCAATGTTTGCTGTTCTGTATAATAAAGTTAGATGAATCTAAGCTAAAACAAGCTATTTACCAATTAAATTTATGACATGGAACCTTTTAATTTAGTGGGTTGGAATTTATTAAAGATGTACTACATAGGCATAAATTTGCTTTGTCGCTCAGCACTCTTCTCTTGGATTGTGTGAATATGAGAACGGAAAGTCGAATGTCTAGTTATATGGATTTCACAAAACAAATTTGTCTAAGATCTTCGCAACTAAGATTTACTATGCTCTGCCTGGATACTAAATAAACCACGGCACTTTTGGTAAGAGAAAGGTGTTTGCCTCAGCATATTTGGAAAGGTTTTCCCTTTCCCTACTCTTGTAAAGCATATTGTAAAAAGGTGAAATGGTTGAGCTCCTGATGGCTCCTTCCACTCCAGGAGCGACTGAATTTCAGCAGAGTATGTATTTAGTTTGTGATGTGCTGAGGGAGTTTTAGGGATGAAAAGGTGCTATGCAGATGTCAATTATTGGTGCCATGGAACAGTGGACAAAAGGAGACTATCCTAGGAGTGCACAGAGACAACAGCTGATGGTTTGGCACCTTGTAAATCCGGACATACTCTTCAATACTGAAGTCTCTAAAATGTTGCCACATTGACAGTGTCTGCTCATCACGTGCCTCCAGTTTTCTAAAGAAATCCTGTGCCAGCTTCTTTATGTTTTCATCTTCTTCTGCTGCTTTGTTAACCTGTACATATACCTAAAATACAATGGCATGGAAAATGTACAATAAATATAATCTTCCCTTCAAAGGAAAATAAAAGTGGAAAACACAGGAAGGTCCACAAGAACGGCACAGGAGAGTGAGACTAGGAACATACATCTTATTTTTAACGGTTGGAATATTGGCTTGACTGCACAATTTAGACTCAGCTGTGGGAACTATTAATTTTTTCAAAAATCCAGATTGTAATCCCACAACTGCTACTTCTGTTGCTGTTACTTCACATGCTGCTTCTGTTACTATCCCAATCTTGAAGCACCCAAAGCAACAGAATATGGAAGAATTCGTTTGTATGTAAAGAAATCAATGATAGAGTCTTAAACCAGGATGTATTTCAGGTTGTAGATCGCGTCATTGGCACACGTCAATTAAACCCCAAAGGAAAAGGTTGGTATGCTGTTTAACTGAGGGAGCCCATATGTCAATTTGCTAGAAGTGTGTGTTGCATTCAACACTACTAGCGTATATAGACATTGGCTTCCCTGGTTGGATACTGTATTCCTTTAGGTGTTAAAGGCCAGAAGTAGATTCAGTTCAGAGTGATTTTTTTATTTATTTTTTGCATTTAGCATTTAGAAAATGAGAGGCAAAGTTTTGAAAGCAAAATTATAAAAATGCTGTTTAAAAATAAATTTACCATGACCATTAATTTTATATTTTGACCCATAAAGGTCAGCATTGATGGAATACTGTCCCACTTTGACAGGTTTTATAAATTAACCCTGTTAGGCCATTGAATTATTGCAACATTAGTGAGACATTAACACTCCAATTTACGAGAGTCCTGTTTGAATAATTCCATGAGTTTAGCCAAAATAGCTTGCTGTAGTGGTCTCAGCCTGTAAAAATACTCTCATCAACTAAACATTCTTGAACTTTTCCCCTTCCCTTTATAGGTCTTGAATTTCAGAGATACTGAATTAACCAGACAAGCCTCAAATTTGAGAGCAATTAAGGTTTCCACAACCTAGCCACAGACAATGGAATTTAAGCTCAGAGAAGATTTAACCCTTTCTGTGAAAGGATAGTAACTGAACACATTCAGTTTTTCCCTCCTAGCTGATGATTTTATAGAGCAAACAATAACTGCAGCTGTGAATGGCTAACCCCATCCGACTCCCGAACCAGAATTTAAGGTGCAACTATGACCAGAAGGGATTCTCACTTATATGCTTAATTACACAAAAATCTTCCCAATGTGGTTTTCCTTTTAAATAACAGCAGGGAAGACCAGTCCAATGTATCATATATAGCATTTCAATACATATCAGAAAGGCTCCACAATACAAAACAATACAAAGCTGCATCAATTGCAGATATAAATCAGAGGCAGAGTTAAACAGTTATAGCAGTCAAAGATTGTGGGTATTTGAGAAATTGTATTTTGGTTTAATAAAAAACCTGCTTCATTAGAAATCACCACACCTGCACTGAATGTTTCTCTCTGTAAATGCAGAAGGTGATTTGGGGCCATCTCACCATAAGCCTAGGTAATTAATTCATTAATCAAATCAAGGGAAAGAATGATCAAGCCAAGATATCTCAATGTTGCAATGCTTATCTTGTACCAGATTCAAATAGCCTAATTTTGAATAATAAAACTTAACTGTATATAAGAAATCTCATTGCCTAGTGTGTAAATCCTACAGGGTATCAGTACAAACCACATACCAAATTATTTGGAAACTTGCAAAGAAAGAAAAAGTGCCACCATTTCTGTTGATTGAGAGTAATTCAAACTAAATAGTAAAAGTTGTGCAAGAACTATCTTCTAGGCTAGGTTGTCTCCTAATGGCTGGACCTTGAAGTTAGTACTTCAACTCCTATATCATGTGCTTAGAGCTATTTATCAATTGTACTGAGGGAGCCCAAGGGGAAAGAGAAAATATATATGGATTGGTTTCAGAGTAGCAGCTGTGTTAGTCTGTATCCGTAAAAAATATATGGGTTGTTAAAAGTCAAAGGAGGTGAATGGCTTGGAAGCCAGAACCATTATGCTATTGTATAAAAACAGTACATATTTCTGTGCACATAATACACAGTTGGGTGGAATGCATTGAAATACTCAAACACACCTTATGTCTGAGCCAGTAACTAGATTTACTTGAAATCATCATCCCATGACATAATGTCTGGTTAGTCAGCAGCTGCCATCTTCAGCCCAATACAGATGGAAGTGTAGTTCAGCTTTTTATTAGATCATTGATTCTCTATGATACATACAACTCCATATCAGAATGTATGAATCGTTGCTGAACAGCACTATACATTTGGTATATTTACCTTTAAAGAATGGGGCACGGAACTTTTTACAATTCAAAATTTATGCCTGCCCATCTCCATAATGATTGGAATTATTCTGCTAAGTGCCTTAAATCTATACTTGGCCATTTCTGATAGCTGATGCATGCAATCAGCCAGCAGACCATTTATTCGTATTACAAAGGCTCAGTGAGGCTCTCTGCTCATGGCATACAATGCAATCAATAGTAATGTTCTCTATATAAACTGGTGGAGAGAAGGATCAAATGAATAACTAGTTTCCATGTGAAACACATTTGGATGGACTGAGTCAGAATCCTAAAATACAACCTGCTCTGAACCAGCAAGGAGATTTGTTTGATCCAAATAATCTGTCCTCACGTGTCTGAAGATCCCATTGTGCAGTGAGGGAGTCAGATTCACTCTTCTGGTGCAGGGAGACGCAAACTGCTGTACCAGCTTGCTCCCTGTGTCCCAGGAAGGCCATTTGCCCAGGAGAGGACAGCTTTAACCTTCATCAACAAGGGCGTCATAAAATCCCTGCTGATGGAAGGTGACTAGGAGATGTACCGAATCCGGTTCACTTTTACAATCGTAAAGAAAGATAAGCCCATTTTGCACAGCTAGGAGAGCATTCTGAAACTGCGCATGGTGACAATCACTTCTCACCACAAATCATGGTAGACTGCATTCAGATTAAAGATCTTGTTTAAGATCCTCTTCCCAAAGTTGCTGCTTAAAGTGTAATTAAAACAAACACTGTCATCTTTACATGTTTTCTAGTGTGAATTAAATAATAAAAAGAATATTTAGATGTTTAAAGCAGTTTAAGATGGGTGAAGTAGCGTGCCTGGCATTAAATGAGGATATTGATACAACAGGCATCAGGGAAACTTGGTGGAATGAAGATACTCAGTGGGACATGGTAATACCAAGGTACAAAATATATAGGAATGACAGAGTAGGCCATGCTAGTGGGTGTGTGGCACTATATGTTATAAGAAAGCATGGAGCCAAATAAGGTAAAAATCTTACTTGAAATAAACTGTACCATAGACACTCTATGCAGAGAAATTTCATGCTTGAATAATAAGAGTATAGTAGTAGGAAAATACAAACCAACCACTTGACCAGGATGGTGACTGTGACTGAAATGCTAAGGGAGGTTAGAGAGGCCACAAAAGCAGAAAGTGTAATAATAATGGGTTATTTCAACTATCCTCAAATTGACTGGGTAATTGTCACCTCAGGGCGTGATGTGGAGATAAAATTTCTAGACACCATAAATGACTGCTTCTTGGAACAGCTAGTCCTGGAATTTGCAAGGGGGGAGGCAACTCCCGACTTAGTCCTAAGAGGAGCACAGGATCTGCTTTGAGAGGTAACTATAACTAAATCACTCGGTAATAGCAACCATACTGTAATTAAATGTAACATCCTTGTATGGGGGATAATACCAAAACATCTCACCACTGTAACATTTAACTTTAAAAAGGGGAAGTACACAAAAATGAGGACACTTGTTAGATGGAAATTTAAAAGCACTGTCACAATGGTTAAATGCCTGCAAGCAGCATGGGGATGACTTAAAAACTCCATAATAGAGGCTTAGAATAAATGTCTACCTCAAATCAGAAAAGACAATCAATCAGAGGATCAAAAAAAATTTAAAAAAAGCCACTACAGCTAAATAGCAGAGTAATGGAAGCTGTCAGAGCCAAAAAGGCTCCTTTAAATTTTGGAAGTCAGAACCTAGTGAGGATAATAGGAAGGTGCACAAACTCTGGTAGGTTAAGTATAAAAGTATAATAAGGCAGGCCAACAAAGAATTTGAGAAGTGTGATGAGGTGCATCAACCCCACACTAGTGAGATGAGGGTTAAGGAGCTGCTCTGGAAGCAGGAGGCCACACCCCTCGCCTCTGCCGGGCATGCTCCCAGTGTAGGGAGCATTCAAAAGGGAGCAGCTCAGCTCAGGCTACGCTGACTGAGGAGGAAAGCAGTTGGGTGCCAAGAAGCCGCTGAGACCAAGCTGATGGAAGACCGTTTAATTTTTTTAATTTTGGGGGGAGGGGTAGAAATAGCTCAGTGGTTTGACCATTGACCGCAGGAGCAGAGGATGCCAACTCACTGTCACCCGGGGCTCCGGAGACGATCCCGGGAGGAAGCCAGGAGGGATCCCAAGACAACCATGGCACCACTGGAGGTACAGGGGTAGGAAGTGACCCAGGGAGTACAAGTTATCAGACCCTAGGACACATATATGACCTACTGCTCTGAAGGGCCCTGGGTCAGAACCCGGTATAGGGTGGGCCCGTGTTATCCTACCTCCTAGTTGGGACTATAGCTGCTAGGCAGAGTGGCTCTTAACTCTTGCCATTGGATGATGCTACATGGACTATGGTTGCTAGGCACAGCGGCCCTTGACTCTCCACACTGGAAGACACGTCCGTGAACTGTAGCCACTAGACAAAGTGGTCCTGAACACTCGCCACTAGGCGATAATGCTGGCCTGGGGCACACAGGCATCTCCTGACAAGAAGCAACTTGCTAGAGACACCATTCTAACAGTAAGTATATTTTTAAGTACATCAGAAGCAGGACGCCTGCCAAACAGGCAGTGTCGCCACTAGACAACCAAGATGCTGAAGGAGCACTCAAGGAAGACAAGGCCATTGTGGAGAAGCAAAATGCATTGATCTTCACTGCAGAGGATGTGGGGGAGATACGCACAGCAGAGATATCTTTTTTGGGTGACAAATCTGAAGTATTGTCCCAAATTGATTGATCAATAGATGAGGTGTTAGAACAAACTGGTAAATGAAACAGTAATAAATCACCAGGAGCAGATGGTATTCACACAAGAGTTCTGAAGGAACTCAAATATGAAATTGCAGAGCTACTAACTGTAGTATGTAACCTATTGCTAAAACAAGCTGCTGTACCAGATGATTGGAAGGTAGCCAATGTAACACCGATTTTTAGGAAGGGCTCCAGAGGCAATCCTGGCAATTACAGGCCCATAAGCCTAACTTCAGTACTGGCAAAACTGATAGAAACTATAGTAAAGAACAAAATCATCAGACACAGATAAAAAGGTCAATTTTCACAATGGAGAGAAGTAACCAGCGGGAACCTCCAAGGATCTGTATTGTGATCTGTGCTTTTCAACACAGTCATTAATTATCTGGAAAAGGGAGTGAACAGTGAAGTGGCAAAGTTTGCAGATGATAAAAAATTATTCAAGATAGTTAAATCCAAAGGTGATTGTGAAGAGTGAGAGATCTCACAAAACTGGGTGACTGGGCATCAAAATAGCAGATGAAACTCAACACTTATAATTGCAAAGTAATGCACATTGGAAAAAATAATTCTTTACTATACATATAGAACAATGGGTTCTAAATTAGCTGTTACTACTCAGTTAAGAGATCTTGGAGTCACCCTGGATAGTTCTCTGAAAACTTCAGCCCAATGCACATCAATGGTCAGAAAGGCTAACAGAATGTTAGTTTCTATCCCTTTCCTAATAGTTCCCAAGATAGAAAATATCATAATGCCACTATATGAATCCATGGTGCACCCAGACCTTGAATAGTGTGTCCAGTTCTGGTTGCCCCATCTCAAAAAGGACATAGTGGAACTGGAAAAGATTCAGGAAAAGGCAACAAAGATGATCAAAGGACTGGAAGGGCTTCCATACAAGGAGAGACTAAATAGATTAGGGCTGTTCAGTTTAGAAAAGAGGTGACTAAGGGGGATATGACAGAGGTCTATAAAATCATGAATGGTGTGAAAAAAGTGACTAAAGAAGTGTTAAGTATCAGGGGGTAGCCGTGTTAGTCTGTATCTACAAAAACAACAAGGAGTCTGGTGGCACCTTAAATACTAACAGATTTATTTGGGCATAAGCTTTCGTGGGTAAAAACCTCACTTTTACCCTTTCCCATAATATACAAACCAGGTGGCATCCAATGAAATTAATAAGAAGCAGGTTTAATACAAACAAGAGGAAGTACTTTTTTACACAAGGCACAACTAACCTGTGGAACTCATTGCCAGGGGATGTTGTGATGGCCAGAAGTATAACTGGGTTCCAAAAAGAATTAGATAGATTCATGGAGGATATGTCCATCAATGGCAATTAGCCAAGATGGTCAGGGAATATAACCCCATGCTTGAGGTGATTCTAAACCTCTGACTGCCAGAAGCCAAGAGGGGAAGACAGGGGTAGATCAATCCAATTGTCCTCTCTGTACACTCCCCCGAAACTCCGGTACTGGCTGCTCTCAGGGACAGGATACAGGGCTAGACAGACCATTGGTCTGACCCAGTATCGCAGTTCTCATGTTCTTAAGAACAATAGAAGGTATTTTAGCTCTATAAATGCTGCTTTTTTTCCCAGTGGAGCATAATATAGCTTAAGTAACAAATGTTTTAAAGCTTTTTGTTTTGAAGACATATGCTTTCATACATATAAGAGCTAATAACTATGTTGAAAGAATATTGCTAATATTATTTGATAACTTTTGAATCAACTTACCTCAAAGAGGTGTTGTAAAGGATTGGATTGTAGCTCTTCTTCATTGCCAAACTGTTGGAAACCAGCTCCCAGTAAACCTAGAATAAGTAATAATTAATAAAATAGGACATTAGAAAACAGACCAGTATGTATTATATCTGGATTAAAAGCTTTGTACAACCAAATCTATCTCTTAGCATTATAAGTAATGAAAGGAAAACATGCCAAAATATTTTAAAAACATAACTGTGTCTGCTACAACAGACACAGAAAAGAAATTGATTATTCCAGTGCTTGAAAAACCATAATAGGCAAAGACTGGTATAAAAGACAGGGATGATCCTTCTAATGAGAAGTCCCTCCCAACACCACAGCTGCTGGAATTCCTAACCCTGGAACCTGCTTCAGGGATCCATCTTTCACATCAGCATTTAGCTAGAAGCTGTCTGAAATCTGAAGCCCACACACCAAACCCCTATGTCTGCTGGAAAGAAGGTGCTTCCCTATTCCTCAGACCAAAGTCATCTGGCTGCCATGATTACTCCTCCACCAGCTTCTGGACCACTCCAAGAGTCTGATCTCCACTACTCTATTCACACTTTTGTTTTGGGTCTTCCTTCCCAGTGAATAGCTCCCATGCCCCACCTCTCCTGTTGCCAAGGGGCAGCAGAGTGAAATTGACCAAACTATCAGTTTCTTTAGCATTCCCAACAGTGAAAGTCGATCAGACTCTGGTCAGCTTTCACTCTGCTGCAGCTTAGGAAAAATATGAGCCGCAGCACAAACATTGGGGCTTCCTGTCTACAGAATGAGGACAATGCTCACTTCTTGTTTGAAAAGTTTCCTCTGGAGCCATAAGGGCAAAAACTTAGGGCCAAGGTCAACAGTCTGCTACAATGGCTATTCTAGTGACACAAAACTGCTGCAAACCCATCTGAATCAGCCAGTTCAGTCAGGTTTAGTGCTGCAAAGCAGTCATAGCATCAGTGAACCGTACCCTTCATTTTTTTTTTTAAATACATTCTTCTACTCTGCAGAAGCTGATGGCATTTGTCCCCCCACTCTCCAGAGAAAGTTTCCTATTTTCCACAAGTGGTGAGTAAGAGAATGGATTTTTCAAGCCCCAGTTGATTATAACCACAGGCATTACAATATTGCAAGGAAAATGAAGGGAAAAAAAAGTAGGCTTATTTATTTTTATTTTTTTTAAATCCATACATTAGCATTTAAATGTAACAATTTCTACCTCAGAATGACATGAAGGGTCTGCCTGAACCCAATAAAAGCAAGAAAACTGAACTACTTAGCGTGCCCACATATTGCAGCACATGTAGCTGGGGCGGCAGAACCCAAAAGGACATTCACTTGAGGTGTTTTCCCTACTACCACCCCAACAGTTCCACTGTGGAAAGATAGCTTTAAACTACATCTAGGGTTCCACAGGATGCCTTGTGACAGCATATCCCCAAACGTCCCTGGTCATGCTCCCTCTCTCACCAATACCAACCACTTTAGTAGCGGTCTTGAGAGACCAACAGGCTGCAGGCATGTTGCACTGCCACAACCCTCTTCCGTGAGCACCTTCTGCTACCTGAGACTCTCAGCTAGTCTCTCTGTTGTGTGTAGTCACCACAGACCCTAGTGTGAATCAAACCCATGAAGTTGCATGACTTGATTATTTCTTTAAATGTATCTGGTTTGGTTTTAGAATTGCCCAAACATTCATAGATTATAAGGCTAGACAGAACCACTGTGATCATCTAGTCTGCCCTCCTGTATAAACACAGGCTATAGGACTTTCCTGAATTAATTCCTGTTTGAACTAGATCACCTGAGAGGCTTTAGAACTGCCCAAAGATTGCCTCAAAGGCTGAGAAATTCAAGTCCTTTCCTCATCTTTAAATCAAAAGAACTTGTCTACATGCCTCTGCAGCCATTCAGGAGAGTTGGGGTTGATTTTAAATCCACATTCCCTCTGAGCTGTCAAGGACTAGGACTGCTGGGGAGATGGTACACGTATCCCTGAAGAGGGAGAGTGTGTACCACTTTGGAATAACCTCTCCAGCTGATAAAGGAAGTACTTCAAAAGAGTCTCGTCCAGTTCCTGTTGGAAGCACAGAGATTGCAATAGAGGTCCTAGGAGGAGTTTAATAAGGGAAGCAAGACAATATCCTGGAAAAAAATAAAAAAGGGCTAATCCCATTTAAATTCAGTTCTATATTTTAAAAATTGCCTCTCGGCTGGGAACTTGTCTGCCAAGTTTCAGCTGGATACTATTTAGAAGGCTAAGTTATAAACTCCTTGTAAATGGTGGTTATAATAGAAATGCTGACAGCTCATTAACTATAGTGGTGCTTCTGGGAAGTACCATTATAATAAAATTCCTGAGCTATAATTTTGTGAACCGTGGTCACATCCTTTATAAAAGCTGTTAAATATTGGAATTGAATAGGGCAATATAAGAGAACATCTGTTTTAAAGGGGACAGTTAAAACTAGTAGCTCAAAAATATGACCTACCAGCTATGCTTTAGATTGAAGGTTCCCATGTACACAATATGCTCTCCAGCTTCCTTTCCTGACATCAAGATATATGCAGCAATATATCAAATCCCTGTTATTCAAAGTTCTCTGAAAGCACCATTCTGCAATCAAACTATTTACTGCTCAAGAACAGAGCAGATAAGCACAGTAGGGAAAAGCACCCTTAACTAGATTTTATTTTGCTATTTAAATATTGTTGCAGTGTCTACTTTAAGAAAAAAAATGACGAAGTCATATCAAAGGAATAAAATAAAACATGTAACTATGAAGTCAGTCTAATTTTAAGGCAACTCATTACATAAGTATCCCTCATTAAATTCCACAGGGCTCAGTTTATAGAGGCTTGGTTGCAATAACATGACAAAAAGCAAAATATTTGTTACCAGACTTTAAAGTGTCAGAAAATTCAATTAAGTTGCCTTGTAAAACTGGCATGTAAAAATATCCACCCATCCACGTAAGGATTATGAATACACTAATATTTTTCTCATCTGTCCAAAACAAACCAACCTACCAAACAAAAAGATACTTGTCCCAAACAAGTGGACAAGTAGAATTGTGTAGGGCTGGCATTTAATATATGCATCATCTACATAGAGGAGATTAAACACAATGATATGCAGGGGCATAGAAGTTTTATTAGTATGATTTTGTGTGTTAACCGAATGCCATAAATGTACCATGACACACAACTACACCTCTACCTCGATATAACGCTGTCCTCGGGAGCCAAAAAAATCTTACCGCATTATAGGTGAAACCGCGTTATATCGAACTTGCTTTGATCCGCCGGAGTGCGCAGCCCCGCTCCCCCAGAGCACTGCTTTACCGCGTTATATCCGAATTCGTGTTATATTGGGTCGCATTATATTGGGGTAGAGGTGTATTTTATTTATGCCACACATTTTAGAAAAATAGTTGTGTCTGCTTTTTGTTTTTTAAACAAAAATTTTGTTGGCACTATTTTTTTTTAATCTATCTGTCTTCAAAGCTACCATGAGTATACCCAACCTCAGAGTAAAAGAAAGTTAGCACAAATACCTTTGTAAAACCTCTAGAAAACTATCACAAATAGCTCTTTTGGAGGGGGTGGAAGTGGAGGGGCAAAAGTACGGTGACATTAAGGTTTGATGTCTTTCAGACTGATAGGGTTAAAAAATGATGCTATTTACCACTGTGAAGCTTGGAATGAATCTTAGCTCTCCTATGCTATAAAATAAATGTTTATAGTCATGGTGGCTCATGTGATATGAGACATTAGGGCAGTCATTGGTGCAAGAATAAACATTTGACCATCTTAGATTCCAGAACAGTATAATTTTCAGTCCTTGCTTCTACAACTGTGGGGGTAAAACTGATATTGATATTACTCTCTCCTTTCTTCACGCACTTTTTAAATAGCAGCTATTTGAACATTTTTCAGATGTTTGATTTTAGTAGCAGCTCTGGCAAACGGGGATTTGTAATTATCATCAACCATGCATAGTTTTGTACATTAGTAAGGATGGGCCTAAAGGGGTTTGATAAGTTAAAGGCACAAAACAGAGTGCAGGAGAGGAGAGCAAATGTGCAATATGAATGCAAATTCCTCTACTGTTTCACAAAATAAGAAATTTATTCTATGGTTATGTCTACAAGTGTGAGGTAAATAAATTGAATACAGTGGGTTCGGTCTCCTGTAGTCCTTACACAAGCAAAACTCCCAAAGTCATGAAGGGTTTTGCATGACAAAAGAATTCAATATTAGGATATATAAACAACAGCTGTAACCGTACACTTATTGTCTATAACTTGTTTTGGCAGCATGAGCCTGTCCAATTATTAATCTTTGCTATAGTCAAATCCAGTGAGGCAGCAAGAAATTGAGGTTGTAAGCCTAAATAATGTTATTTGTGAAAGAGAAAATAAACATACCAAACTGCATGCCCCAGTCTCCAAGGTAATTTATTCTTGTTACTTGATGTCCAAGTGCTTCTTTGAGGTTTGCTACAAAATTCCCTGGTAATCAATCAAAATTATTATTATTACTCAAAACAGTAAGTGTTCTCTCATTCTCAATACTAGTTTTGTTTTGATACAATCTGCATTCCCTCCTCATTACAAATCCAATAAAATGTACTGTTCTACCAAATTTCTTGCTGAAATGAATCAGACTATTAATTCTTACAGGCCTTGTGGGGTTTTTTGTCCACTTGGAAGGTGCTGTATATTCATTCATTGTAATACAGAAAATAAACATAATATTTTATGTTTATATGGTGCTCTTCAGCTGACCATCACAAAATGCTTTCAAGCTTCAGTGCATCCTCACAACACCACCGTAGACTAGATCAGTCCTCCACCCCATTTTTCAGAGAGGCAAACAGACACAAAGAAGTTAAGTGATTGCCCAAGTTCACCGAGCGTGTCAGTGGCAAAGCTGAGAAAAGAACCAAAAACTCATGATTTCCAGTGCTGTGCTCGAACCACCACAGTATCTGTAAACAGGCTGCACTCCAACCCGGCTCCTAACACATTTTACCCACGAGACAGGGTCCAGTCTTAACCCCTTCCTGAAGCTTGCTTTTAATATTACTGTAATTAAAATGCAAAAAAACCCTCAACCTCATCTTTCTCTTGAGCTGGGCTGTTCTTAGGATTTTTCCTTGCTTAACTTCTGTGTCCCTGCCCCTGGTTTCCCCTGCTTTAAAGGGGCTTACACCTTTTAGCTCCGATGCAGGAGTATAAATGGACCCATCTGGTCTGATATCAGGGTGACTCAGCTGCAGAGCTCTGTGGTTTTCTCCCAGAACCTTTATCCTGACACCATGATACAGCACCCAACCATAATTTTCTATTAGATTCATTCATTCTATTCAGTTTATTTCATCCCTTCTGTGTAGACCATTATCTATAGGATTATTTGGGGGAATAGTCCTCCCCACAGGAGATGGTGTGAAAAGGAGGAGCTATGACACCTTGTATCACTTAGCTAACAATTACATGGTTACAGAATGGTTGGATGCAGTATTAACTCAATAGATGAAGTGCAGACAGTGATCCTTGTCAGTCAAGTAGCACTTTATACACTGATATGGGGAAATACTGAAAGAGAAAAAACAATGAAGCTAAAATTTCACTTAATAGCTTTTGTGCCATTGGAGTGTTGAGCAGCAAACAAACACACAACTATTCAGTTATGTACAGGAGTCAACAAGAGTTTTATCCCATATATTTGAGGGCAGAACTGGGCCCACAACCACCATGACAGCAATATTGACATATAGTAGTTAACGAATTACAAACAAACCTGATGTCAGACAACTTCTAAGACAACTGGAAAAACCGGAAATGAAAGTTACCCTTAAAGGGACTCAAAATATATCAACAAAGGCTTCTATCAGTGTCTTTCTAGGATGTGCTCATTAATAAATGTCAGTAACGGACTGAGTTTTTGTTGTTTACTCCCTTCCTTCACTGTTTAATTGGTAGGAGGTTCTTATTAAACATAAGGTTGGCCTGACATGGCCTTTCCATTATAGGAATGAAATTCAATAGGATTTTCTATTGAACTCCATAGAGGAGATACAGATGATTTTCTAGGCTGTAGTTAAATGTGTACTTACCTATTATCGTGGAACGCAGGTGTCCTACATGAAACTTTTTGGCAATATTGGGTGAACTGCAATAAATACCCACAGTTAACATTTGTTGACTGTACAAAACAGAACTGCCAGACCATTGTCTCCCCTAACAAACATCCAAAAACAGTCGCTACACTCTTCCCATGTCCTGAAAAGTGCTAAAGAAAAACACAGTTGCCACCCTTTCCAATAAAATTCCCAGGCTGATCTAATTATGAGCTGGGATCCAGGTCCCAATTTTGCTCCAGAGGGCAAGGCATTAAAAAAAAAAAAGTGTTGCCTTCCCAATTAGTATCCAATTTTCAAATACAATCCTAAGTAGATAACGAAGTACTCACACCATGCTCTGTCACTCTATAAAAATTATGCAAGTATGGATTTTTCACAACAGACCTTCACTTTTACACGATACCTCCCTTCCTAGGAGTAAATGTGACTCCATCACAAGGCTCTCATACAAAGCCCTACCCAGAATGCATGCCCTTCAGGGCATACTCCCTTTCAAATACCAACTCCAAGTAACGACAATCAAGTATTATTATCTACAGGGATTAAATTCAGTCAAACCCCACCAGAGCAGAGCTCTGGTAAATATTTTCAAACCCAAAGCACCCACACACACACTCCCCACCCCAGGTGAGAACAAGCCAAAGTGGTTTCATTTACTTCCTCATTTGTAAGTCAGAATCATTTAGATTAATTAACTCAGGGCATTTAAAGTTTATTTCTCCTGGACACCTGTACTATCCTTGATTTTCTAGTTCTCTTGTGCTCCCTCTGCTGGCAGGTTGTCCAGGTCGCAGCACAACAAAGATAAGGCAAATGGGTCTTTTTATAATTTTGAGCCAGATTTTCAGACCGAAGTCCATTTTTTGTGGACACAAAATTGTGCTCACAATTATTTGTGCCTGAAAAAAATATTCAGGCCTGGGTCTGAACATCCAGCCCAAAATTTTAAACAGCCAACTACTTATTTCTGACCTGACAATACCTTTGCTGTTCAGTTGCCAACCTAACCAGCTGGTGGAAGATGCACAAGGGAGCAAGCAAACCAGAGTACAGCACAAATATAAAGGAAATAAAGAGTTTTAACCAGGTATCTGTTTTTTCAGGAACAAATAACTGGAGACACAATTTTGCACCAGTAGTTTTGTGCCTGCAGTTTAGGACATTTAGACATCCAAATGCTTGATTGCTCCTGAAAATCTTGGATGTAGGCATCAAAGTGATCTAAATTGCAGGTGCAAATAACTGTTGGTGCAGAACAGCACCCACAACAACTGAAGCTCAATTAAAACCTAAAAAAACGGAGGCTAAAGGCTGAAAATTCAGCTTTAGTTTCTTCATAACAGAATTAATTAAAACAAAGAAGACTATCATCCTCCAAATCAGAACATTCTTAATGAGGGTCAAATCAAGGCTTGAACTAAAACACCAAATAGTGATGATATACTTAACAGTTCTAGGGGGGAAAAAGCCCCAAATATGATTTATGTTGTATTTGCAAATAAGCTACCCATGTACTAATGTAGTTGAATACCATACATATAACAATGCAGCAGTATCACCTTTGTTATTAATAAGGTATTTTATTGATTCTTGTAAAAGGACTTCACCCATGTACTCACCTAAACTCAATCACTATCTTTCTTCTGGGAACCGTAGAGAAAAGTTCACTTTTTATTCCATATTCTGAGCCATCTTTAAATACCTGCTGCAACACAGCCTAAAAAGCAAGAAAAAAAAAGGCTTGGAAAAGTACTTCATCAACAGAAAAAGAGCAATCAACAAAGAATTTTTTTAATGTTTTACTAATTGCCTAAGAGCTTAATCCTGCAGCCTTTAAGCATATAAGCAATCCCACTGAGGGTTATATGCATAGCTGGCCAGACAAAGCAAAGGCCCCACACGCAACCCCATGGCATTTTGATATGTCCGTCTGTAACAACAATTTTTGAAAACTGCATCCCATCAACTCCAAAATTTCAGGGAATTTTCTAGGCCCCATTGATTTTGGTGAAAATCAGAAAACCAGAAAAGCCGGATTTCCACTACTATCACCATTTGTCACTCAGGTTAGAGGGCTAAGGAAGAAACTTCCGAGGTAGGGTTAGGTTAGGATTAGTGGGCCCCTCACCCCACAACATTTTGCACCACCTTGCATTTTGCATCTTTGTCCCTTGTAATTATGAGGGGTGACTAAAATACATTGAAAAACATTAAAAATTGAGATTTTTATTTAATTCAATATATAAAAAAGAATTGCATTAGCTCAGTAAAAATACGTTTTTGCATATACTTGTCTGTCACAGAAATTTCAGTGTCCCAAAAATTTAGTATGTTGGGCTACAGATACTGAGAGAGCTTGCTGAAGGGTATGATACATCCATGAAGAGCAAAGATTTTAACGAAGAATACGAGGATTCCACAGAAACAGTTAAAGGCCGCTATTGCAGAAACACAGAAACTGAATTGCTCTTCAACAGAAGTATTTTATGCTCTTATAATGGCAGAGAAACGACTTCCTTATATTTTTAAGAAGAGATCTTTGTGAACGTGATTCCAAATTCTCAGTATGCATAATAAAAGACAGCTGTTTAGTCAATCTTTAGAGAGGGAATATATGATTTTCAAACAGAAACAATGAATGTTTTGAATGTAACGTTCTACACTAAGACTACAGTAGATGTTTTTCATTTCTATGTAGAGGGGCTAATTTTGTCATTATTGTTAATATTTCGCATGTATTAAAAAACGTACCTTTGCTAATAATTCCTTATTTATTGTGAAGTTCACTGTTCCTGGACCAGTGCTGATTTCACTCACTACCGTATCACATTTTAGCTAAAAAACACATAAAAACAGGTGAATAAATCATGTTCTTCATTAGACATGCAATACTATATTGGATAGAATCATTTAGGATGGAAGGGATGTACAGTGGGTCATCTAATAAATCCCTCCCCTCATAGAAAAGTAGACTTGCGTTCATTATTTCCAAACCATCTCCACCGTACTCCACTGTGGCAAGAGGCGGAGTCGACGGGGGAGCAGCGGCAGTGGACCCCACGGCCACTGGGAGCTACGGGCATCCGTGCCTACGGACGGTCAATGTAAACCAACTGTCCCACGGCCCACCAGCGGATTACCCTGACTGGCCGCAGGTTGTCCACCACTGGTATAGCCTCATCTGCAATGTCCAATACTAGTTGCCACATCTGAAAAAGGATATTGCAGAACTAGAGGGGTTCAGAGAATAGTAATGTGAACAATCAGAGGCCTGGAAAAACTTTCATATGAAGAGAGATTGAAAAGACTGGGCTGTGAATATCAAGAACATTCAGATTTATTAAAATTAATGCAAAAAAATTTTTGGAAGGGATATTAAATCATGCATAAGGATTTAAGCCAGTCTCTGACTATTAGAGATCAGGATGAGATATAATATGGGGGGCAGATTATCCCACATCTGCCTTCTGCGGGTGTCTTCCATCTTCCTTGTATGCATCTGGTACTGGCCTCTTTCAGAAATCATGGAGGTACCATCGGGCCTAGAGATTTATTGCATTTTAAATCATCTAATTGTGCCAACTGCTCTTCTGTCACCTCAGCCTCAGAGAGCACCCCATCTTTATTACCAGAAAAGAAAAGATTCAGCATAGGGATCTCCACAACATCTCAGAAATGAAGACTGGTGCAGAGAAATTATTTAGCTTTTCAGCAACGTCCTTACCATCCTTATTTGTTCTCTTTAACAGTTACTGATCCAGCAGACCCACTGATTCTTTTGCAGGCTTCCTGCTTCTGATGTATTTAAAGAGTCTCCGGTTGTTTGTTTGACACCTTTAGATATATACTCTTTGAAATTAATTCTGTCCCTTCTAATTTCTTACTATCTTACAATATGCCTTCTTAATTCATGCTCCTGTTTTCTGGCTTCACTAGGATCAGGCTTCCAAATTTTGAAGGCTTTCTGGATGGTTCAAATAGCCTCTCAAACCTTACCATTTAGCCATACTGGTTTACTCCTTGCCGTTCAAGTTCTATTTTTGCTCAGCAGCATGCATGCATTGTGAGGATCTATTTTTCTTAAAGGAGCAACCATGCCATCTCTAATTTACTTCCTTTACTTTTTATAGGGTCTTTTTGCCAAGCCTCCTCATCTAATTGAAATCTCCCTTTCTAAAGTTTAGTGTCACTGTGTCACTTGTGCGGTGCTTTACCTTCCCCTTGGATGTTGAACCTTACTTATATTGCGATCATTCTTACTTAATAGCTCTGCTACTTTCATTTCTTGAATTAGCTCGTGTGTTACTTAAAACTTAATCAAGAATAACCTCATGTGTGCTCTAGAACTAGCTGTTCTAAGAAGTGTTCCAAAGAATCAAGAAATTGTTTCTTTATCCTACTGTGCCATTTGACCAATTAACCCGTGGGCAGCTGAAGTCTCCCACTAGTCTCATTTTGTTAGATTTTACTTGCCTCTTTGGTGTGTCTCAACTTTGTGGGCTCAATTTCTTATTCTTGATCCAGAGACCAGTAGTACAGGGCTACCAATATATTTATATTTTCACAGCTTAGGAATTATATCCATAGAGATTCAATTGCATGGTCCGCCGAGTTCAGCATTTTTATCTTACTATAATCTATGGAATCCTTGAGATACAGCTTTATTCTCCCACTTCTTTGGCCTAGTCTATCCTTCCTGCCTAGTTTGTAACCAGGTATTACAGTGCCTCTAATGGTTTTTGTCATTCCACCACTTCCCCATAATGCCTATTATATCAAAAACCTTGTTGATTGCAAGGCAGTCTATTTCACCAATTTTTGCTTCTAAACTTCTTCCATTTGTATACATTTATAGTCTTGACGAGGTGCCTGTTTTTATCTAATCCCTTATTTTGACACCCTGCTGATTTTATAGAATGTATATCTCAGTGTTCTAATCCCATCTCTGTTCTAGTTCAATTGTAATTTGCATTCTACCCTTCTTAGATATACAGATACTTATGTGTGCTTTTAAGCTGCCTTAAAACCATTTTAGCTGGCTACTGGAGGATTCTCCACACATAGGGGTATTCTTAGGTGGTGTACAGACAGATATTGGCTCCCACCAACCTTTTGTTGGTCACCAGTGTAGGAGGTTGGGTGGACTCCTTTATTCTCAGCTGATCCCCAGCTACCAGAATAGTCCCCTGAGGCTACGGGCAACCAGTGTAAATCAGATCAGGTTTTAGGCCTTTGTCTCTTCATCTGTGAGCTACACAAAGCACTCCTTGGCCACAGTACCGGTTACATCTTCCCTCAATCATCTCATCTCTTTCCCAGATCTTGTCACTTTCCCTCAGAGTTTCACTCGCCAAACCTCTTGTTTTTGCTGCTTTTCTCTGAACTCCCTCCAGTCTGTTGGAAGTCTAGTGTCAAAACTGAATACAGTATCCCAATAAGGCCTAGCCAACACTCAGTCGTTACTCCAGTTGTTTTTACATGTGACACTCTATCAGTATAACTCATTCTTAATATTTACTTGTTTTGTGATAAAACTGCACGGGCAACACATTCAATCTTGCACAACAACATCCTTCTGTAGTATTTACACACAGCTTTCTATGCGTGTATTATGCATATTAGTTTACATTCACTTTTAGTGAATCTCATTTTTTTATGGTAATCAATTTTTCCAGTATATTAAGATCATATCCTATTATAATTCTATTTGCCCAAGTATTTGTGATACTGATCAGCTTTGTATCATTTACAGATTTGACTTGCCTCTTTGGTGTGTCTCAACTTTGTGGGCTCAATTTCTTATTCTTGATCTGGAGACCAGTAGTACAGGGCTACTAATATATTTATATTTTTACATCTTAGGAATTATATCCATAGAGATTCAATTGCATGATCCTCCGAGTTCAGCATTTTTATCTCACTATAATCTATGGAATCCTCTAAACCATTAAGGAGAATATTAAATAGTATGGACTCAGAATGGACTCTGTATACACTTTAGACTTCACCTCTCAATGTCACACTTAACAATTAATTACTCCCAAGTTATTTTTGTTTTAAATCAAACTGTGACATCGTTTATGTACTCTTATCTAACGCTGTTTCTCGAATTTCCCATGAAGAGGTCATGTTCAATTGGGTCAAATGGCTGCTGTTATGTTGCACTCAGTCAAATGGGTGCAGCTGTCACTGGAATCAGTAGGAGCTGTTTGTGTGTGAGTACCATTTTCTCTAAGGAATTTGCTACATTTCCTTTATCTAATAAGCTTGTTATTGTATCAAATAAAGAAGCTTATCGTGCCAGAGTACCTTCTCTGCTAGCCTCTGAGTTTGAAGCTGAAGATCTGGCTTTGAACGATCACTAGACTTGTTCTCTATCACAGAACCCACAAAGAGCTGGAAATCAGCAACTGGCCTAGAGAAAGACATAAAATATTGAGATTGGGTAAAACAGAGTTTGCTGTTACTAAAATCTATTGAAATGCTGGGGAAATTTACTAAATGTTAATAATCCATTTTAGTATGGAACAATTTCATTTAGGCATTCACTCAAAGCATTCATGTCAAACAACAAAAAGCATCAAATGTGTTTTGCCTGTTCCCAATATCCTTTGAGAAGAACCACAAGAGCACATCAGAATTTCATCTGAGTCATAATGGAACTTTTAGCAGATATTTTTCCACTAACCCACTTGTTAATTTCAGTATCTGCTAAAAAGGAAAATCAATACTTATTAGACAGACCAGTGAAAAGGTAAATGATACTGGAGACAACTGTGCGTAACCTACACAAGCATGAGGCTCCTCCTGTTCAATTTAAAGGAGAAAGGACAAAACTGAACAATTTATGATGTCTGAAAGATACTGGCTAAGGAAGAAATATTCAGTAATGCAATCACACAGTCTGTGGAAAAATACTACTTCCCTAAAACTTTCCAGAATGTCTGTAATCTTAGTGGTTTTCAAAAGCCAAGTCTAATAAGCAAACAATATTTCACGAGTGTATAATCAGCACATTGCATACGTGAGACAGACTGCCAGACTTAAGGAAATTAGCCAGATTCCCAATGATATCAGAGGATGGAAAATGCAGTTGTGTTAGCATTTTTCAATCACCTCGTGGGGTATAAAAGATGTTATAAGGCAAAGACTACTTACAGAACAGCTGGAGTATAGGTGGAATTAGTTGGTTAGCTAGTTTAAAGGAATCCTTTTTCCTTTGTCAGGCAAACTGTCTTGAGCACAGGTTAAGGGAATGGTAGTAGACTCCCCCATCCCAACTGCTGTGCTGTATGCCATGTGCTCATGGTTTTCAGTCCCGCTCCAGCAGCAGCTCCATTTTGGTGATGCTGTTTTTATTTCAGGCCTGATCCTATAAACATGATCGCAGTAGAGCTCTGATCCAGCAAAATACTTTAACATATGATTAACTTTAAGCATGTGAATAGTCCAATTGACATCAATGAGACTATTCACTTCTATGCCAGATAGTAGGCATTTGGAGGATAAAGAAAGAACTCTGGGATCCTTCTAGATTGATACTATTGAACATGTGCCTGGCTATAGAAAGGCCCAACCTACTGTGATGCATAGATAAATGTACAATTAACATTTTTTCATTTTCCCCCTAATTACTATATTCACCTAGTATACAATTTGAGGACATAACACCTTATATTAAGAATTCTTTCACTTGTAATAAAATCCAATTTACTTTTTGCATCTCTCAGACAGGAGAATAGAAATAAAAGTATCAGGGGGTAGCCGTATTAGTCTGTATAAGTAACATTCATATTGATTTTCAATCAGTTTCACTTTCAGATTTTTAGTGCTGTAATATTTGCATTTCAGGCACTGCAAAGGGATATTTATTTCAATTGAACTTTTAAGTATCAGAAGTGATTCTGTTGGTTTTGAGATTTCATAAAAGCTTGTTTTTAAAAAAATTAAATGGTGAGCCAGATTTAAGTTAAATGTCCCTCTAAAATTGACTGGGATTTAAATATAAATTATAATCTTCATATTAGCCAGTACTGTTTGATTTTCTGTATTCATATGTCCCTTAAAGCTCACTGAGATCCTACAATATTAAGCACCACACAAAAAAAATATTTTATTAAAACATAAAATGTAAACACTTTACCGTTTTTTGGAGACAGGAACTGCAGATATTGACTTTATCAAATTTTCTGGTGGCAGGTTCAAAACTCTTGAAAGCTAGATTTGAAACAGATCAAAACTTTTGATAAATTTATTACCATCCAGACTGGTGACAAAAATGTTAGTGAAGCTATTTTAAGATCAGTTTTTAAAAAAGTGTTACAAACACAGCCAATGAAAAAATATAAAGGGTGCTTTAGAGAAAGCTGTACTAATCAAAACTTGCAGCTCTAAACCCCTTTTATTTGTAGAAGGAAGACTGCAGAGACCTGTTTATTGGAATGAAAAAGATACATTTTATTTTAATATAAATTATTTATTGCCTGGAAGATGAATGATAATCAATTGCTGTCCCAACTTAAGATATTTTTCATGAGGATAACTGAATAAGTGGTACATTCCGTTATACTGGGTTATATTTTGCCCTAGCGGAAGCAGATGCAATTCTAATCAAGGGCTGCATCTACTAAGGATGAACTTGGCCCATGGTGTGAAGTTCCCTGCAAAAAACATGCCAATGACCAGTGGCTCAGAAAAGCAGCAGACACAATTTGGGAAGCTAATGCATTAGAAAAATCAGATTCCTTTTGTTAAAAAAAAAATCCTAAAAATAGAGAATATTCTATGACTACATTTTTTTTTGTAATAATCATTTAACAATGTTAAGTAGAAAACAACCCCCCTCCAGTTTGCCTCAAACTGAAATATGATGAGAAAAACTGACAGAACACTCAAATTACCCCTGGTTAATAAGAAAACATTACACTGGAAAAAAGAAGAGATGAATAAGGTACTTCACTGTTAGGAATAAAATTTAAAAATCCTAACTTCCAGTTCCCTGGTCTAGCTACTGAACTTATTGTATCCCAGTAAAATGCAGCTCAGAGGCAGTAAGAGTCTGAGAGATTAATGTTAACACTTTAAAAGCCTTTGGAAAATCAGGGGACAGTAGATTTTATCTTTAAAGCCCTAAATGGACCTCTCCAACCTTACTCATTGTTCTTGTTCCTTTCTCTCTCTACTCTGTTGCCTGCTAATTCTGCTTTTTTAACATCAGCCTGTTCTCTCTTCTCACACAAAAACCAGAGCTGTGTCTCCTGCTGTTCTGAGTAGCCTTCCAATATCTTAATTTTATCAACTTTGAATCTCTTTACAAATCTCATATTAAATCATGTGCTTGAATTATACTTTTGAAATCTGGTACATTCCTTCTTCACTAATAATTACAGAGAAAAAAAAGATGGGAGCCGACATTCTCTATCAGAGATCACGAAAAAGTCATCAGTTTAATAGCCACTTCTTCCTAAAGGGTGGGTGGCTGTCTTCTAATAAATATGATCTGTTTTGTTATACTATATTGTATCATCTTGTACTGTATGGCAGTGCAAGATACTGTATTTATGGTATTATATAAGTGTAGTGCTTGAAAAATTCACTCAACACTTACTAGCCTGAAAACTGAATGTGCTAGCCAGGGTGAAAAATTCATGTCACCATGTCCCTGAGACCACACTCCCTGCAAATTAAAGGATTAGACAGTTTACTGTTCGTTTGCTAGATTTAATTTTAACACATCAATCAACTTTTTAAAAGTAACTCACTGAGGGATTCTCTACATGGGGAATTATTCCAGAATAACTATTCCTGATGCACTTCCAAAATGGATTAAGATGATTTGGAATAAGGTACTTTCATTCTGGAATAAGTGTGTCCACATGTGGAGTTAATGAGAAATAGTTAATCCACTTTAAATTCCACCCCCCCTGCCTTATTCCGCATTAGCTTTCATATGTAGACAAGTACTAACTCAGTTTTGCTTTTGTTTCATACTTTCCCTTCCTGGCATCACTCCATGTACCTCTCTCTTCTTTCCTACAATATCTTTTACTTTCTTTCTTTCTCCCTCCCTCTATTCTCTGAAAGCCCTAATTCTTTTTCCTAATTTATCTAGTCAATCTTTCTCACACCCCAGACTACCCACACCTTCCCTGATACCTAGGACTTAAAAGCTACTACATACTTAACAGCCAGGGGACTAGACCAAAGGACTTAAGTAAAATGAGGGGCCACACTACCCAGGGACACCACCCAGAAAAGAAGCTACCACTGTCTGGACTCCTACCAGGATGACATGGATCCTGGACCCTTGCTCAGAGGCTCCTTTTATTATAGCCCCCTTCACATTACCTGGATCTGTTACAAAGTCACATGTCAAATGATAGGGGACAATATTAGGGTTGCCAATTTTGGTCAGATGTATTCCTGGAGGTTTCATCACTTGACAATCTTTAATTAAAGGTTAATCTTTAATTACTGGAGACACCCAGGGCAATCCTGGAAGTATGGTAACCCTCAACAGCATCCACTGATTCATGATTATTTTATTTTTTTTAATTAAATGACAATAAAACATGATGGAAAACTGATCACCACAAACTAATCTGTCTCTGAATAACAATGGCCTTCTAATCACAAAGCCACTTCTTGTTCTCAATGCAGTTTCTTCTTCAGCCCACTCAGTTGCCAAGGAAGAGCTTCCACCTGGAATCTGTATTTGCTGTCCTTAGTGGTTTTCAATGCCAGTGATTGGGTGGGCATGAGTTACTTTTGTCAGCAGCACTTCAGATGTCCTCAAGAAAAAGAGAGTCAGTGTCCTTGGTTTTCTTTATAGGTCTTCCATTCCCATTTTAGAACTGACTCTCATACATAGTTTAAGATATGACCGTGGTGTAGCTAGTAAAACTGTTACAGTGAGAGGATGGTCAGAAGGTGAAGCATGAAGTAGAACCGGTCTATCTAGGTGTGATCTTAGACCACTCACTGAGTTACCATGCCCACCTGAAGAAGACAGCAACTAAAGTTAAGACGCGTAACAACCTTCTTAGCAAACTGGCAGGTTCGTCATGGGGTACTCGTGCTCCAACTTTGCAGACGTCAGCTCTTGCCACCTAGCATTCGGTGGTGGAGTACTGCACACCAGTTTGGAGTCGATCGTCACACATCAAACTGGTGGATACGCAGTTACTTGCTGCCATGCGTATCATTTCCGGCACCCTGCGTCCAACTCCACTCCCATGGCTTCCAGTTCTGAGCAATATTGCTCCTCCTCATATCAGACGAGAGGCTGCCACTGGCAAATTACTGGAGAAAGTATGTGCCAACTCAAGCCTACCCTGCACAATGACCTTTTTAAACCACCAGCTGCACGTTTGCCATCACATCGCCCATTATAGTCTCATCAGCCACGCCAGGATGTTAGGGCGGAAACACTCTGGCGAGAGGAATGGATATCTGTTATAATCCCCAACCAGTCCCTCGTCGCCAACCTCACAATTTGCCCCCCGGTTTTGACCTGCCCCATTGCCAATCGTCCCTGTTGAACAGGTTCCAGGTCGGGCAAGGTCTCTGTGCAGCCAACCAGAATCGCTGGGGCCTTCGTGACAGCCCTTTGTGCAGCTGCGGTGCAACACAGACGATGACACACATTGTTGATGAATGCCTGCTGACTAGGTTCAGCGTGGCCTACACCTGCATCACACCACTGAAGATGCCATCGCTTGACTAGCCGACTATGCACTCACTAAATAAAAGTGAGTGGATGCCAACCTCTATGATTACTAAGGCTAAGTCTACACCACACGCCACTGGTGGCAGTATGTAAGCTACGTGTAGTGACACACCACAGTGACAAGCTGCGCAGCTATACATGTCAGTGAAATACTCTGGCAGCGGGGAGCTGCCTGTTGGAATCATTATTAAGGCTACATTTTAGTCATGGGTATTTGTAATAAAAGTCATGGACAGGTAACGAGCAGTAAACAAAAATTCACAGCCCCTGACCTGTCCATGACTTGTACTATAAACCCCTGACTAAATCTTGGGAAGGGGGGCGGATAGGAGGGCTGAGTGTGCTGGGGAGGGAAGGCAGGGGGGCACTGCAGGTGCTCGGGGAGCTGAGCTGGGGGGTGCCGTGGGGGCAGGTGGCAGCGCACAGCCCGGGACCCCCACTGGTGCTGGGGGGTTGGTGTTTGGGGCTGGCAGACTCCCTACCCGGCTCCGCGGCCCCTGGGAAGCGATGATATCCCTCAGCTCCTAGGTGGAGGCACGGCCATACAGCTCTGCGTACTGCCTCCTTCCCAAGCGCCAGCTCCACAGCTCCCATTGGCCGCAGTTCCCAGCCATTGGGGAGGAGGCAGCACGTAGAGCTGCGTGGCCACGCCTTCCCCTAGGAGCCGAGGGATGTCACCACTTCCAGGGAGCCCCGCCCCCCCCCCTCCCCCCTCCCCGAGGTAAGCATTGCTCAGAGCCCTCACCCCCTCCTATGCCCCAACCCTGAGCCCCCGACCCAAACTCCTGCTGCTGCTGGGGGATAGGGGTCTGAGACTGCCTCAGCACCAGCCGGTGCAGCTAGCCCGAGAGCTGCCCAAGCCGCTCAGGCGGCCCCGGGCCAGCTACACCGGCCACTACAGAAGTCATGGAAAGTCACAGAAAGTGACTTGCGCGACAAACTCGCAGCCTTAATTATTATTAATACAGGGTATCAACACAACATCAATGTAACCATCAAGACCATACAGTAGCATGAAGTTATAAGCATTGATCAGCTACTTACAACAGGACTGGACCTAGGGTGCTCAAACCCATGTTGGCTGGCTCCAACTGAACAGCAGGTACTAGCAAGGAACTTTGAAGACTTTACCCTTTTATACCTTATTATTGGAACATACATGACAATGGTCACGGCTTCTTGAATTCCTTTCTTTGTTAAAATCAGTCAGAACCATCTTGATAATTGGGGCTTTTCTTCAAAGAGTTTTCTCCTGTCTTATCAGTTACCTTTCAGGTCGTTTTTCCAATGAAGCCACATTCCAAGCCCAGTATTTTCAATTAAGCATAGCACCTTTCAAGGCTGTCCCATGACTGCTAAACACCTGCATTTTACATAAACTGCAAAGCATATATATTATTTAGCCAAACTTATTAAACCCTTTATATACCTATCTAACCCTATACTGCTGGAACCTTTCCGTGCTACTGGAGTCTTTGGGTAGGTCTATACTTACCGCCGGACCCGGAGGTAAGCAATCGATCTTCTGGGATCTTGTCTTGTCTAGACACGATAAATCGATCCCAGAAGTGCTCGCCGTCGATGCCAGTACTCCTGCTCGGCGAGAGGAGTACGCGGAGTCGACGGGGGAGCCTGCCTGCCACGTCTGGACCTGCGGTAAGTTCGAACTAAGGTACTTCATTCTCAGCATTCACGTAGCTGAAGTTGCGTATCTTAGTTCGAAGTGGGGGGTTAGTGTGGACCAGGGCTTTCACAGTGGCAGGGAAAGGCTCTGGCAGCCTGCTGGGGCTACTTTTCCTTCTGCCAGAGCCTTCCTCTGCATCAGGGAAAGATTCCATCAGCGGGGCACTACACTGCTAAAAAATAGCAGTGTAGATGGGGGAGGCACTGCTTGGGCGTGTAAAGTTGTATTGGGGTTCATACCCTAAGGGTTCTGGTGTATCTTTACTCACCTAAGCAGTGCCTCATCATCTAACATTGCTATTTATACTGGCAAGTGGGGGCATGCAGTATATATACCCTACACACTGCTGTAAGAAGTGTGTGGTTTATACGTACCCTCAGTGTACTAGTAACTGAAAGCCTATACTGATGCATGGGTGTAATTAGTAAAGTCGTGTGTGTAAAAAGCCAAAAATGGCTGAGAACTTTCACACTGGACAGTAACAGACTGCAAATTCCAATGGTGGTTGAACCTGGTGATATTTCTAAACAAAAAGAGCTCTCAAGTATGCTTGTAGTTGTTTCCATTGCTTCACACTGACTGTTCAGATACTTCAGGTTTTAGAGTGACAATCCTGATACATTTGAAGGTTCATCCCCACTCCTCTGTCTAGTGAAAGAAAGGAGGAGCCTGTGTGTTCACTACTCTCATCCCAGAACCTCCTGGCCAGAGCACACATTGGAACAGCATAAACCTGACCTGATGCTTGACAATTTCACTTCTGCCCCTAGAGATCTGAACAATAGCAGTGTATCTGACCAGTCTCAGGACTTTGTCTATGTGAAAAAAACAACACCAGTTTAACTGAAACTGGTGCAAAGACCTAGCAGGTGCTCTTATTTTAGTTTAAGAGCATCTTTTCGAGGTTTAGATTAAACAAATTCCTTTAATCCGTTTAAAATAAACTGAAATATTGGATAATGGACTCTTCAGCCTAGAAGATTGGCTGAAAGTTGAAGCTTGACAAATTCAGCATGGAAATAAAGTACAAATTTTGAACAGTGAGGTGAGGGTAAGTAACCAGTGAACCAATTTAGCAAGGGTCACGGGGCATTCTTCATCGCCACCTTTTTCTAGAGCAAGACAGACTGTTTTGCTAAAGGACAGGCTGGAGTTCCAGAGGAATGAACCCAGAGAAGTTGTGTGGCCGGTGCCAAGCACGGGGTGGGACAGAAG